AAATGGATGAGGATGCTAACCCTTCAAGAAATTCATAGTCTACAAGCTCAGCTTATGTTTTCTTGCTCTGTATATAAGACTCCATTATGGGCTGCGCACTTTAAAGCGGTTATTTTTCTCTTTATTGAAATCATCTTCCTACGGAGGTCAACAGCAGGAAAGATATTCTAATCACGTATTACGGTGGTGGGGGGATTGAAATCTCTTTATAAGGCAATAATTAGAGTGCATAAAATGCCACCCCCATCAGCTGCCACCCCCAGCTCGGTACCCAGCCTGTACTGTTAAACACTTTGGAAAGCCCTCCTGATGTAAAAGGCGCTATATAAATTGTAAATTTGTATCGTATAAATGCAAATATTTATTGTTATAAGGATTTGTTGTCATGAGAAAGAGTACATAGGGAACAACAGCTCTCTAAGCAATACATTTCTAGTTAGGTAAGATACTTGTGAGACATGGATACTTGGTTTACAAGTTTATAAATTTCTGATTAGTATAGAATTTATATTTTTAATTTCCATGTCTACTCTCATCATTTTAGGACTGCTCAGTGTTTAAACATTTGGAGTTTGTGAAAGTTTCCCTGTTGTGAAAAATATCTCCTTTGAACAAACAGAGATTAGCGTAGTGTGGTCTTCAGAATACTTGCTACTAAATTAGCGCAGAGTTTTCACGTTGAGGGAGGAAGAATAAGATAACGGATTAAAGATTTAAAAATGCGGTCTTGTTTGTAGAATTAACTATAGTGTTTGGAGCACGGTGTTCTAATCTGACTTAATTCTCTTGGCATCAGATGCACTAAGATGATTAATGCATTTTAATGGTTGATCTGAAAGTAATTTAAAGAGACTTTGAAATGTTCAACCTCATAATTTCTATTTGTTTTGGTTGGGGCATGATGAGTGGATACTGATATTGATTGTTTAAGGAGACAGACGCTGTACTAAGCATATTTTTTAAAACAAATACTACAATATAATGGTTGAAATTTCTATCTTTATATCTCAAAAAACACAAAAAGAGCTTTTATGAAAACCAGTGCCATTTTAATGCAAAAATGCAAGTTTTGTTTTAAGGAGGTAGAAATTTGTACAAGAAAACACACCAAAATACTAATATAGTGGCCTATTTTGCTCTTAGTAATAAAGTGCACCGTTTGATGAGTTTGGGTTTTGATCACCTGCAGTTTCAAATAGAAAATAAAAAAGCAAAAAAAGTAGTCTGAATTGTAAGTTCTCTTTACTGTGTTATCCACAAAGTGAATTCTACTGTATTTCAATTTTAGCCCTGAATATTATACCAACGATGTGTATTTAATTGTATTTAAGAAACACACTTATAAATACTGTACATTTTGTTCTTTGAATAACATCTGCGATACCAGATTATGCTTCTGATCACTGAATGAAATATCCTCCTAAATCTTGAGCCTTTAGAGAGAGACTAAAACCATCCTGTCCCAAAAAGACAAATTTCAAATTTAATATTTTTTGTTTTAAGGATGATAGTGGGCATAAACAGCCCATTTGTTACAGCTACCTACACTCTTTTAAAATTAATTAATTTCATTAAAATGATATGGTTAGCATCATTTTCAATTGATAAAAATGAACAGGATTAAACAAAATAAAAAGGTTTGAAATCAATTATACATTCACCTCCTTGTTTATTTTTTTTAAAAAGGTACTTTTCCCCTTTAAGGTTGTGGGAGTTTGTAAGTAAAATGCTAACAAAAACGTTAATCGCCTTCCATGCCTAAAAAGATTTCTGAAGTTATGCGGAGAATTATTTGTTTCCAAAATACTTTCACATTTCAGAATTAAGTCCATATTTTGAGCCGCAGTTTTAATGTGTGCTGAACTGGAATCCTCAAACTTGTGCAGTGATTTTTTGTGTATGTGAGTCTTGATCTCAGTTTTTCTTTTGCTGCGTTCTATGCAAAAGGGAGATGGTTTGCATACCACTGGATTTAGAGGAACAGTTATGCTTAGTTACTGTAACAGTGTCGACCATGGTCTTCTAATGATAAGTTAGACCTTGGCTTCTGTGCAGTAGGTCATGTTAGTATCGTTGTCCTTACAGTGATGCTTTTGTCTTCAATGTTTCTATGTGTTTGCCAGATGTCAGTGTTAAGGATGGCTGGGGTTTTCAAGGGCAAAAAATTATAGAACCTGTTTTGTTGGGTCTATCCAAGCGTATGAATTTTATTTAATTTCTGAAACTACTGTTTACATTACCCACCCTCTTTCCATTTCCCTCTCTAACACTCAGCTATATCCTCCCAAAAAAGTTTTTATGAAAATAAATCAAATAATTATACCTTGGTTGTGGGTGAGGGGAAGAAAATTTCCGACATGCATTTTTACGGCTAAGTGATGCATCGTCTTCGTATGATAGGAGGAAGCAAGCTTGAAGACATAACAGTAACATTTCTGAAATTTAAATTGAAAATATAGATCTGGATATGCTAAGTTTAGTGATGTATAGTAGTGCCAAAATATCATGATTTCTGAGACAGTGTCAGTGAACCATTTTCCATGTTTATTGTTACTCTGAGCATATTTGCCCCAGAAACTAATTGCTGTGCCATGGGGACACATCGGGCAGATTGATGTCTTTTCCCATTGTCATCACCTTCTCAACTTGTTCCAGGGGAGATATTGGCTATTCTTCATCAATCCATGCCCTTGTGCAGTCCCTTACAATACTTAGATGTGGACTAACATCATCAACTTACGTAGTACAGTATTTTAGACGTAGACTCGCATATTTATCGAATCAGATTGGCTTTTGTGGCAATCTGCTCACCACTGGAACAAAACCAGTAACTCTTTTCCACTCAGGTGCAGGATGTAGGCACTCTGAACTCACTTGAATGATCTGAAACACATCTATGTTCTGAAGCCAACATTCAATTCTTCCATGGATGAATTACCCCCTGAGCGAGGTTACCACCCTTTGAAGGATTTTTTCAAAACTCAGATGCCATTGCCTTGGATATATATCAATAAAACAAAATGACATTTACATATAGAAAAGAGATCAAGATGAACAGTGTTCTTATTCTCATCGTGAATGGATACACTTTCGTTGTAAACATTTAAATTATTTTTATTTTTAAAGTTAAAAAGGTTTTTTTACTTCTGCCTCCAGGGTTGTCTTATCTCCCTTTATTATCTTTGTATTTCCCCTCTACTTTTAATCTAGGTTTAATGTAGAGTGGATCTTAAGCAGATTGCTTTTTCACATTCCTCAGTATATTGCTGGTGATCTCAGTGTGAGATTTTCCTACCTGTACTGCACCTACAGTCACACACCATTGGCCTTAATGAATGGTGCTTCTCTTTCAACATTGCAATCCACCCAAACAACCTGATTGAAGTGTTTATTGGATTGCTCTATTTGATATCTGGCACAGAAACACTCTTGAAATATATGCCTGCCTTCGAACCACTTCGTATTGACCTGCAGTCTTCCCATAGTCTGCTCTATTCTTGCCTGCTTGTTAGTATTTTACGACATTACCATGTATATATGACATTGGTAGAAATCAATATCGTAAAACATGTTTTAGACCTCAGATCTGAGTGACTTTTAGAAAGATTTTCAAGTATAAATTATGTTGCAACAAAGAAGTGATTTTTTGTTTAATGTTTTTGTGTTGGATGAGTAGCTCCAGCAGCAATAGGGGGTTATTTACTATGGAAGGAACAGCATCACCTGATATCTCACATTATGTGGAAACTTAATCCATACCTGGGATCTGAACTAATTATGCACCACTTTATCCACCATTTAATTCTATGGATTCTCGTAAACAAAAAGTTCTGTCTTGGAGGACAGCATTAGCTTTAATTTCATACAGTAGAGTTAGTGAATTATAAGCCTTGTTGATTGTTTACAAAGTAAACCAAATGTTTAGTTTCCTAACACAACTCACTTAAAGCTGAAACAAAATTACCTGAAGTTATTTCACACTTGTACCTTTGTCAGGAAGTTTACCGTTCCGTCTTTGTACCCTCCTTCACATTGTTCTGCTTACATAACAATTACTTCATTTCTAATTATTTTCTTTGTGTAGTGAGCTTTGAGACGTTCATCCAGTATGAAAGGTTGTATACAAATGCAAGTCATTTTTGTTATTCTGAGTTGGAGCTCAAATGTCATTGTGTTGCTGCTGAAGGAACTTTATATATTACATTACTGGTTTGTCTTTGGAGGCTATTTGGTATTGTAAAATTGTTAGATTTCCCAATTGCAGGTTGATCAAGGCCTGACTCCACATTCAGGAAATCTAACCTTGTTCTATGTATATGAAGACTTGTTTTCATCTTGTAAGTATTGAGATGACATCAACATATTTTCACATAAATGTTTTGAATTTATTTCTAATCTGGAGAACAGATTTATTTAGATAACATAATTTCTTGTATAATCATGCATCAAGTATAGTTGATGGGCAGCCATTGTTTTCAATCGTAGGCCTGTGTAGTCCATTGGATGAATGCCAATCGATATCAGACATTCTTTATTTATGTTCCAGTGTATCCAACTTAGTGCCTCACCTTTTCGAAGTCAATATATGGAGCAATAGATCTAAAAATATTCTCCTTTGAGGGCTGCTAACAGAACTGTCTGGCATATCTCTTCGGAATATGTCCTGAGTAGTCTGAAGCACTCTTGATCATGGTTGACCAGCTGTCTGGCTCATCAATGACACTTCAAGGTGTAGACATGTTCTCAACCTTGTAACCTGAAGTCTTAGCTTATATGATAGTTGAGCTCAGTGGTAGCCAACCTTTATTGTCGGCCAAGAAAATAATGTACTTGATTGAATATGCCTTGATTTATGCAATGAATCAAGAAATATTCAATGAAGAAAAAAAGAAAATACATTACCGATCAAACACAGACTTACCTAGACTTGTACGAATGTTCGGCAGGGGTGGCTTCTTGAAACAAGTAAACATTCCTGGATATTTTCTTTCCTGGTTTAGATTGGATAATACAAAGAATCTCAGTCTCCAGATGGATTACTTTTTTCAACCTCAAAAAACCTGTCTGATTTGCGGTGACGAGGCATCAGGATGCCACTATGGAGCCCTCACCTGTGGCAGCTGCAAAGTGTTCTTCAAGCGAGCAGCTGAAGGTAAAGGCATCAACGTTCATTTATCCCTATTCGATGGTGAGATCACATTTCCAGTACTAAGTAACACGGCTATGAATGATCTGATGATATCATGCATTCGTGTTTTTTTTCTTAGTTCCAAACTTTTGCTTATTTGAAATACTTCAATCTAAGACGGTGTATATTAAACATGTCTTCCTTCAATATGGGCAGAACAACTTTGCAAACCAAGAACACAGGAGGCCATTCTTCCAGACCAGTTCATTAGGCCAAACTCCACTGGCTCCCAATCACCGAACGGATCGACTTCAAGATCCTCTCACTCTTGTGTTCAAATCCCTTCACTCTCTGGCACCTCCCTACCTCTCCGACCTCCTCACTCCCCAATCCACTGAACGATGCCTCCTCTTAACTGGCACCGGCCTCCTGTTCATCCCTCGGACCCTCCGACCCACCATTGGAGGTCGCGCTTTCAGCCACTACGCCCCAAAACTTTGGAACATTCTCCCTCAATCCCTCCGCCTTGCCCCCTCCCCTCTTTCAAGTCCCGCCTGAAGACTTTCCTGTTCAAACGTACTTACGGTCACCTCCCCCTCTCCCTGGGCTCGGAGTCAGGCTCCACCACTGTTAAGTGCTCTGAGACGCTACTCTGGGTGGAGGGCGCTATATAAGTGCAAGTAGTTATTATTGTATTAGATCTTAGCAGATCCTTAAATTCCAATACCCTGAGCCAGGTGGGTCCACTGTACTCCAGGGCATTGCTGATGACACACCAGTAGTCTGGCTCATTGGCAAGACTTGGAAGGACAGACCAGTCACTGGGAGCAGAGATTCTTCCCACTCAGCTCCTGTTAACCCTGGAGGCCAAAGCCCTATCACGTAGGATAGTGCTAGGTGGACAAACGGGTTGCTTGCCAGAACTACTCTCAGTGGAAAGCTTTGCGGTTTTAACTGGTTAGACTTCAACATTACCCCAACGTACACTCTGTTCACCAACCTGCACCTGATCGTCACCGGAATTAGGCAAACAGGGTGTGTCCCTCCAGGGAGAAAGTGGGCATTTCATTCTAAACACAAGAATATTTCCATGTGTAGGTGGCACACATTTCTGGCACTCTCAATCTGGTTTAGATATCCTTAAGCATTATGATGGGTTTCCGCATGTGTCAGCCATCTGGCTGACCAAAAAAGCTGAGGAGCGTGCTTGCTCCCTCTGCCTGTGGCTCTCCAAAAGGAACCATACTAGCTTCATGTAAGCTGTAATTTGTGTGCCAGCTGCACAAACACAAATAGACAACCTACAGATGCATACAAAGACAAAAGAAAATGAATGGCAAAAAATTAAGAGAAAAGGAAAGCAAAATGAATTCACCAAAATCAAGAAACATTTTGTGTTTCCTACTGTATTTCATTGTCAAACCTAAATGTTGTAAATTGTATGAGGGGATTTTAGTAGTTCATCAAAATTGGCAGTTAACAAAGCCTGAATTCCGTCTTCCATTGAAAATATTTGTATGTCAGCCAATATGCTTTGTCTGCAAAAGATTATATTTTAACAGACCTTGAACGTTATTGTATCTCCTTTTATGAGCCTGCACAACTCATAATTAAAAAATGTATATTAATATAAACATGCCTTCACATCTGCCAAAATATTGTGCTTGAATTTTCTGTAAAATATAGAATTTTACTTTTGAAAACAGTCTAAAGCACATCCTTCTCATGGCAGTCCATCTCTAAGTTGCAGTCATTAAAATCCCTACAATTTATTAACAATTATGTATTAATACATTCATATAGACATCAATGAATTTCTTTGTAATTCAGGAGATACCGATGTTTTGCAACATTCTAAGTTATTTTACACCTTAACTAAACGTCCTGCTTCATCGCTGAATGACAGAGATGGTGGCTGAGCCACAGCTGTTTAAGTAAAAGTATTCTCACTATAAAAAAACTGGATAGTTGGCAAAGGACTACAGGCCAGGATCTAATGTTAAGGTTTTGGTATCTGGCAAACCATTTTTTCAGAATATAAAATCTTACTGCAGCTTCAGTAGTGAAGCACAACAACACCAACAACAAGATTACATTTGTGTAGCGCCTTTCACGTCGGGAGGACGTCTCAAGGCGTTGGACAGTGACAGCATTTCAGACCCGAGCTGGGGTCAGGGGAGAGAAGGGAGGGGAGAGGAAGGGGGGTGACCAATGGCATGGTCGAAGAGAAGGGTTTTGAGGCAGGACTTGAGGGATTATTATTAGGCTCTGTGTGGAGTAAGGAAACTTGCCCAAGGTTTCGCCCTCTGCCTGGAATTGAACTCAGGTCTCTCACTTGCAAAGTGAGTGCTCTAACCACTGAGCTACAGAACTCCACGAATCTGAATACTTGGAATTGTGTATTACATAATAAATAACTCCTCGTGGGAAAGTGAGTTATGAATAAAAGAATATTGCACTACAGATTTTATTAAATACCTTTTCTCTTCTTCCTAGGAAAACATAAGTTCCTTTGTGCCAGTAGAAACGATTGCACGATCGATAAAATTCGAAGAAAAAACTGTCCATCTTGTCGTCTAAGGAAGTGCTTTGCTGCTGGAATGACGCTTGGAGGTAAGCCATGGTCTCACAATTACTCACAAGATTGAGATGTCCATTGTCATTCAAGGGGTTGTGCTTTGCACTTAATTGTTACATATTCCTAAATGATATCAAGGAAGTTATCTGTACACTTATTATGCCTTTCCATTGTCTTTCATATTGCAGTTTGCGTTTTAAAACTGTTGATTACAGGAGCCTAGAAACAGCAATTGTGTGTTGTACGTGACATTGTGTTGCATTCATTATTACCTGCCCACGGCTGCACAGGTCCCTCCCTGTATGTTGTTGGAGCCAAACTTCAGTATCTGTTCTGACACATTATATTTCCTACTTTATTCCCTTTATCACTTCATTTTAAAAATGTTGACATATGTATTTTCTACGTGCAACTTACCACCACAGTTTGGTGTAATTACCATTGGGTATTCTGAACTCCTGTACTGATCAGGAGAAGATGGGATAGGTGGGGAGTTAAGGTTCGGGACAAAAACAAAAATTATCCAAAAAGAAGAAAAAATAATTAAATTCTTAGAAGGAAGGGTGAGAGTAAGATCCAAACTAGCAAGACCTGGCAACACACAATAGGGGCATTCAGGATTAAAGAGACTCAGTAAATATATATAATCAAATGCCAGAATGATTAAAAATAAAATGGTGGAACACAAGGCACGCAAAGCAGCTGGTAATTACAGTGTTGCAAGAATCACAGACACTGATGACGTAGCTATAACTTACAGGGTTACAATGCTTTCAGAAAAGGCTACAGAGGGTGGAGGTTTGCCTGATATGTAAGGGACAGTTGGGTGGTCAAAGTAGTTGAACCAGCATTACAGGAAAGGCTATGGTATGAAATTATCTGTTAGATGTGTTCAGCAAGAAAAATGTCTGAACAATACCTGTGGCTTGTGACCTACAGCCAGGTCAGAGCAAGAACTTGTCACTTACGACAATATTAAACACAGTCATAACAAATGGGAGATAGTACTAATAGTAACTAACCAACCTGACTAGAAAGACTTGGCATTGTCAATCTATATAGGTATACATATATATGGGTAGATAGTATATGGATGAGTTCTTTCTCTTAGACTTTGCCCTTGTGAGTGGCCTAGATACTATTCCCATAAAGAAGAAAAAGGAAGATTTATGTTCATTGTTGGGAGAAGAGACTCAAGAGACGTAATAGCAGATGTGAAACAAATTGCAATAACTTCTTCCATTATTATAACTGAAAAAAGGTAATCAGGGAAGAAGTTAAAACCAGAAAGGGCCCAAAGGAAGTTGAGAATAAGGATGGATAGGAGATAATAAATGTATTAAATGATGACGACTTGGATATTTTTATCAGGGAGGACACTAACAATAGGCCATCCAACATACCCTGTGTGAGCTCTGGGATTTAGATAGGTACAATAGGTTAAAAACCAATAAATTCCTTGGGAGAATAATGAAATAAAATGAATGAATTCTGCCCAGGATACTTGGGGAGAAAAGAAAGGGGATTTGTCCAGCACTTTGGGACGTCCTCCCGATGTGAAAGGCACTCTATAAATGGAATATTGTTGTTGTTGTTGTGAAGCATCAAATGATTTGAGGGCATCAATGAACATTGTAGAGGATTCAGCAGACCAGAATTCGACGCAAAGCAATTCTAGTGATCAGGAAGGGTGATAAAGAGCCAAACCTGGCAACTACAAGTCCACTAATCTCACTTAATCTCAAAGAAAATAACTAAAATAACTGGAATAGAGGATAGAAATGGGCCATGACACAACTGGCCAAACGTTTTCCTTCTGGCTGTTAACGTCTCTGTATAAAATTGACATATCTCATGCAAAATGTAAGATTGGAAGAATTTAACTCTTTTGCTTTCCCACCTGTCTCCCACCACAGAGTAGTGAATAAACCATAATCCCATTATAATGCAATGGTTTGAGTTCATAAATTTAGAAATAAGGCATGCCAAAATGGGCGCCTTCTGGTTCATCATATCACTATTGAAGTCACTTCATGTGCATTTCCTGAGTGCGTGTTCTGTACAGGAAGGGTAGTGGATGTCACTTCCTTTGTAAAGTGAAGTGAAGTCAGGGGCTTCACTTAATAATCCTAATAATAATAATCCTTGCATTTGATATACCGCTTTTTACGTCGGGAGGACGTCCCAAAGCGCTTCACAGAACACACTGTAAAGTGAATTGACTGTATATTTGTGGGCGAACGCGGCAGCCAATTGCGCACAGCAGCGTCCCACAAACAGTCCTGGATTGAAAATGACCAATTTATTATTGTTTTTGGTTTTGGAGGGATTATTATTAGGCTCTGTATGGAGTAAGGAAACTTGCCCAAGGTTTCGCCCTCTGCCTGGGATTGAACTCAGGTCTCTCACTTGCAAAGCGAGTGCTCTAACCACTGAGCTACAGGACTCCACAGACTCCACTTCACAAAGCCAAGCCAACGTGTGCTCAACTGGAAAGCTTTATGTCGGTGTTACCCTGGTGTGGCATAGACTCCCAGATCAATCAATAAAGGAACATCTGCCAATGCCTACCCGATATGGAGAAGCAAGTTATGTGGATGACTACAAATAGAGTTGATTGAATGCTTTGTGGAACATGGTGTTCCTAAGCTGCTGGAAGTTCATGCCAATTTAGGCAGCTGGTCAACGAGGAATAATGGTGGATATAAAGTTAAACGCATATTCCAGAGGATTGCTGAATTTACTTTTGGGGATAGGGATTCCAGGAATCTTTCCTCAAGACATTAAATGAGCTGGGAAGTGTCTGATGGCAGCTTGGCTCAATGGCAAAAGTATCACCTCTATTGTCAGAAGGTTGTGGATTCAAGTCGCATATCGGGACTCGGAACTCACACAGTCTAAGATTACACTCCAATACAGCTTGAGGGGTTTAAACTGAGGTCCCATCTGTCTGTTCAGGTGGATGTTAAAGATCCCATGGCACTATTCAAAAAGAACAATATAGGATTACTGAGAGAATTTCTGGTGGAGTATATGGGAACTATAAGAGCCAACATTCCTTGGTACAAATTACACTCACAATGTAGAGATAGCTAAGCGGGGTTGAACTCTCGGGAGCTTTTGTTTTTTGCTTCTTCCCACCCTCGAACGTATCCCATCCAAAAATGGTGTAAAAATCATTCACTAAAAATCAGGGGAAAAGGCCAATTTGTTTCTTGAGGTATTTTGTAATCACATCAACAAAAGAACTATTTGAAATATGTCAGATTTGACATTTGGTGAGTTTAATGGGTGGCAAAAATATAAAATATTCATAGCTTTGAAGAAAAGAGTCCTGTGACTTTGCCCGCACAATATACAGTCAATCCAATTTACAGTATATGCTATGAAGGGCTTTGAGATGTCTCGACGACACGATAAGGTGCTATGTCAAATGCAAGGATTATTATTATAATGAAGAGTTTGCTGCCTGTGAACATAGATATAGAGACGTTGGCAGGCACTTATAAATCAGGCAATTAGCATGGACAATTTTTTTTATTATATCCTTACAGAATCTAGTTTCTGCTAATTAAAATTTCCCATAAACAATTTCAGCTTTACAGCAAGCAATTTTTAAAAGCTACTTGACTTTTATTCCAGTCAATTTGATAGTTAAGGTTCTTAACCAGAGTGAAACTTTATTGCACTTTATTATTGATTATTGTATGTGACTCCTCAATGACTGACTGCAATGACTTGTTAATGCAGATAAAATTGCTTTTTTTCACAGGCTGCATTTGAGAATGTCAGGCAGTCATGCAAGTTCATTATGATATTTTTAAAAGATTATTAAGCAGACTGTACCAAAGAAAAGTCAGTCTACAAGATGAACGTTTCCAAGAGAATTTGTGGATGTTATGGGAGTCAGACTTGTGGATTACAGTTTTCTAGAGGGATGAATTGATGTTATAGTCTACTCATCAGTACGGAAAGTATGACAAAACTACACGGAATGAACACACGCCAGTTTGCCTGAAGATATCTGGCCTGAGACGTGTAATGGAGAAGGAGACATTATCCCATAGGCTACTTCAGTGTCCAGATATGAGACCCATAGAGGGCTTGTCTGGCTGACCAGTCAGAAATTAGGCCAAATGACTTGGCACTTCAGCTGCTAGAGATTACAACCAGTATACTGGGATGCTCTAAGAATAGTTTGCCTGCAGTGAACTTTGCTGATGTGGGCATAAAGGGTTATCATGAGACATTGGAGAGACTCCAGATTCCCAGCAGTACATTGGTGGAGATCCCAAAATTCATAAACATTGCCGTAACTTTTTCGATACACTAATGTAATTAACTATAATAGGCTCTTAAAATCCATTTGAAATGTTTTTTTAAAAACATTCTAATTATTGCCAAGACATGTTATATCCTGAGGTGTGGTTTTCTTCAATTATCATAGGAACATATGACAAAGCACAAGAAAGAGATGGTCATTTCTATCAATGAGGTAACTGGATCCATTTTATTTTAAAACTGGGGGTGAGAGGAGTTATGCACAAGGTACAAGGCTGAAATCATGTCATACAGAGGACATCAATGAGTGGCAATGTTGAACGGAAGGCCAAAAGTTCTGCTGTCCCATCCTTGTTTACTGGCTTTCTCCAAAGCTTGGCACTTTCTCTGTAATCCTCAGAGCAGTCAGAGATAGGTTGCTGGAACAACAACTTGCATTTATGTTTACCCATCCCCTTCACATCGGATAATATCTCGGGAGTATTTCATAGAGGCGGGCACAGCCACCCCTGGTGTATGATGGAGATATAGCTAACAAGACAAAAACTCACCTAATTTCAATGGTAAAACTATAGGTATTGTTTAAAATTTAAAATGGTAAACTTGGAAATGTTTTTTTAAATTGAAGATCAAGAAATTAAAGCTTGAGCTAATGAATTGTAGGTTCTGTTGTATCTATTGTTAATCAAAGTTGATAAAGTGTCAGTTAAAATCCCACTTCAGCTCAAGAGGCAGGTCAACAAAACATTTGGCCCATCGTGAATTTTGCGTCAAATCCAGTGCTTACTCAATATTCCAACTTCACAGTTTTTGACAGAACTGTCAAGAGAAAATGCTAGCAAAAGATACTTTCTCATAGAAAGGGTGAGAAAAGCAGTGATTTTGTTCACCTTGACCACTTTATTATGCATCTAATGGGTTATTTTATTGTGAGGGTGCCAAATGTGCAATGTCAAATTTAGTAGCCCATCGAAAAATTTGGACTTTTAAGTCATACTCATTTATCAACTGATTTGTTTTTTTTTGGTTGCTTTGCTGTATTGCACAAACATTCAGAATTCAGTGCGTTTTTATTAGGTGAAAGTTGGAGAAGGTTCTTTTCACTGGTGATCTTTGGTTTCTTGCAAACTAGCGGTCACTAGTCAGGCTGCCAACATTACTAGTCGCCTAATATGCTACTAGTAGCCTAGTAAACAATCGGGATCCCAGATTTGTTAGGTGATTGTTTCTTTAAGCAATTTAAATTTCACTTTCACATCAAAAATGGATCTGTATCTTTATTCAACTAGTGTCACTGAGCCCTACTGCTTAGATGATTTGCAGTAGAAAAAAACATTTGATTATCTTTCTCTTTCACTCCTTCCCTACCCTGAGCAAAGTGAATCCGTAGCCTCTGCTGCATTTGTATTCTTACTTTTCTGCTTCCGCCCTTAAATGCTCTTGCATTTTGAGATGCGTTGAGACATTCACGAAAGGCATTCTGTAAATGCAATTAGTTCTGGTTGAAGTATGGTTCAGTGAATTGCTAGTGTTAGTAAAACCTATGACCACAAAGAGCTGAAAAGACGTAATATTTTTAAATAGTGTTTATTTTTTAAAAAAAGAGTAACTACAAAGTGCTTTATATGCTCCCATCGTATAAGCTTTATATGATCTTAACGAGCTCGCATAAATGTAAATTGTATTGCACTGAGTTTGTGTGAAAAGTAACAGTAAATATACTAACTCTTGCATTTGATATAGTGCCTTGAAACATCTTCAAATGCATCATTAGTAATTGCTGTGAAGTGATCGTATTTGTAAGCTAATGCATCAACCAATTTGCATTCAGCAATGTCCTACATGAAGCGATTGACCAGGATAAGATTTAATTATATACTCCTTATATAATTTTTTTAAAAATGACACCTCTGGATAAAAACAATGGTGGCTCAGTGGGTAAATGTATTAGCTTGTAGTTCTGACATGTAAGTCAGGTACCAGGTTCAATACCAAGTCTGTGCTAAATTGAATGATTCCAGTCGCTAAGATGTCATTGTGAACGAATTAATGGCTCAGGAATAGCTAGAGTGAATCAACGAGGGTTCCTTGTCTCTGATTAATATACAGTGGTTGGTGTGGAAAAACTGATGAGAAATTCAGGCTTGGCGATAATATCCTTCATGATTATATAGCCTGCCAACACTAATTTAGCCAGTCTTATACATGATGAACTGCCATTTGAGTGGGAATATAGAACCAGGTATCAGCATAAGTCATTGTTTTGGAAAAGATGGGAATAAATGATTATTTAACACACTACCCTTCTGTCTGGGCTCAAATCTAACTTGGCTGGTACACTGCCTTGTCTAACTGAACCATGCAAGTGAAGAAAGTTCTAAATTTCATCCCTAATTGAGTTAAACTGGGATTGTGGTTCTGGTTTTACAGATAGGTTTAGTGGACCAGGTCTAAGTAGGGGTAAAATCTACTTGAACTTCTGCTGTTGATGTATATCTAGCTGGAATGTGTTAGTTTGAGCTCCTTTTATTTTGGTCAGTCGGGTATCTCTGTAGAAACCTGTCATCGGGCTTAGGAGTATCCAAACCAGACTGAGAGGTCCACATATGTATGCCACTTACACACAAATATTTATTTGTATCTAGAATGGAAGGCGCACTCTCTCCCTGGAGGGACGCTCCCTGTTGACTCGTTTCCAACATTGCAAAGCACATTACCTTGGAGCCAGATCAAGTAGATCCCACCTTCCCACATCCCCAGGAGGATAGTCACAAGTTGGTCATTTGACATATGACAGGCGCAGGTTTGAGCCCTCACGAGGTGGATAGCAGGTACCAGGAACTTCCTGCAAACGTCCTGGTGAGCAGCACAGCCAGCATGAAATGCGTGAGAGCATTGCCATCATCCTCATGCCGCAGCTTGGGCATGCATCCCCATGCATTGAGCTGTGGTTCCAACAGTTTAAGCTACAGAACTGGGGCAGCAGCAACTTACCTCTTTACATATCAATCAAGGTGGATGCCAAACCCTGGATATATGAGCATGTGTTCATAAACCCAGACTCCAGGAAGGGCCTTCCAGCAACTATCATTCCCAAGCCTCAGAATTTGCTCATCAGTTAATTAACATGTATCTGCATTCAACATGATGGGAGGCCCTTTACAGGACAGCTTGTGAGATGCTAGCCACGTTGATATTCTAGAGACCCAAGTCCAATGCCATGTACCAGGCTCACACAAACTGCTAATGCCCTTGTGAGAGGCATTTGCAAATAGATGTACTTGCCATGAAGCTAACTCTGCTTCAAGTCTGCTCAGGGATAGATGACTGTAGCCTGGAGCCCTCCCTCCCTGCAGCCACTTCTGCTGGTTACCACAAATGTTCATCACTGCTTGGTCTTGAACGACACTAATGGGCTGAAGGAAACCTCTCCCTTGTATGCCCAGGAGCTCGGAAACAAAATAATATATCTTGGCTCAAATCCAACTTGGATGAAGTGAAGTATTTGAATTGTAAGATTGGATTACGGCCAGAGGGGCCTCCCTGGTGGCTCAGTTGGCTGATACACTACCTGGTCTGTAATTGAATCTTTTTTGAAAGTGAGGAAGGTTCTAAGTTTCATCCCTAGTCTGTGTCGAATTAGTGATTCTGAGCATCCACTGAATATAGACTTGAACCACACAATCCAATAGAGCCTACATTTAGCTCACATGTAAAGACTGGCTATTTTAGTGAGTTTCCAGAAAGTACCAGATTTCTGTGGCACTGTGGCCACTGTAAACACTGTAGCCTCACATGTTTGGTTGTGTGAGGTGAGAAGTAATAATAATAATCCTTGCATTTGATATAGCACTTTTCACGTCGGGAGGACGTCCCAAAGTGCTTCACAGAACACACTGTAAAGTGAATTAACTGTATATTTGTGGGCGAACGCGGCAGCCAATTGCGCACAGCAATGTCCCACAAACAGTCGTGGATTGAAAATAACCAATTTATTATTGTTTTTGGTTTTGGAGGGATTATTATTAGGCTCTGTGTGGAGTAAGGAAACTTGCCCGAGGTTTCGCCCTCTGCCTGGAATTGAACTCAGGTCTCTCAGTGAAGAGAATTGAGGGTGATGTTTTTTAAAAAAATGCTACCTTAAATTCATTGTCATTTTTATTGTTCAGAAAATATATATGATTCTGATTTAGTAAAATATGTGTGCCGTTTTAAGAGCGTGTAATGTTGAATATGAAGGAATGTTGAACTTGTGACAGAAGGCCAGTCTTGGCAGATTATTTTTCAGATTCAATTACAAGACATTTATCTCTGAAGTGTATCATGTATACTATCCAATTTCCTGTACTCTATTTTGCAGTTAATTTTAAGATAAAAGTCTTGTTTTACTTAAGTTTACAGATTAAATCATCTTGTAATTTTATTTTCAAGGTCGAAAATTGAAGAATACCAGACCATTCCAAACTGCAGAGGAAATTGAGTCTTCAGTTGCACAAAGGCAGGACACCAGTCAGTCTGTCATACCAAGGATGGGTATACCAAGAATGCAGAAATTTCAGTGCCAACCCCTTTTCCTCTCTGTTCTACAAGTCATTGAGCCTGACATGGTATATGCAGGCTATGACAATACTCAGCCTGATACATCCTCCAGTCTATTAACAAGCCTCAATGAGCTTGGGGAAAGACAACTTGTGCATTTTGTCAAATGGGCAAAAGTCTTACCAGGTAAGAGTGTGAACCTTTTGAGTTCTCGTTTTTATTTGAACACAGAGAACTTGAATGTGTAAGGTATATCTGAGGTATCGTAGACACCGGAAAACAAAAGTACAGTTTATGCTTGTCTTTCATTGAGTTTGTCTTTCATTTACAATGGAACCCATTTTTCTTATAATAGCCAGAAAAGACTGCTAGGCTTCCTAGAAAATAACTACAGTTTGTTTTCACTCATTTAATTCTCATGGCCAGTTGGAATACTTATTCGGTAAGAACTGTCTACTCTGTTATTTCTGGCACTGTCTATTACATATTTTAGCAACTCTAATGCATGTAGGCCATTAGTTGGCTAAACTGTAGGCCCACAATACCTGAGAACAGGACAAGCTGTATTGACAATGGAAGAACAAATATCCATTTCACTTTACTTAGGTAGGTACAAACACTTGTCCAACTGGAGTACGTGGCCTGTGCAAGCAATGTAGAGCTAGCATAGTAATCTTACTGTGTACTGACCCTCAAAGAGTAAAGCTGCAGTTTCTTTTGGTGTCTTATTTTCCATTCTGTATTAATCAGGCATTTCAGTGGCAAAATCAAACATATCACGCTTTAAAAGATGCTCCTCCTCCATTATGGTAATTCTTTCCATTCCTTTTGCGTGGAGCCCCTACCTGGGCATCTCCAATTTGTTTTCCCTCACGTTGACATCAATTGCATTTGCAGTATCACTGTGGTTGAAAAAAAAGTTTTCATCCACAAAATACACAAGTCAATTCACTTTATAGTATATTCTGTGAAGCGCTTTGAGGCGTCTCAAAGACATGATATGGCGCTATATCAACTGCAAAGATTATTATTATTAAACTTTTTCTTTTAGATGTGTGGACAAACCAATAATTTCATTTTGTTTGTTATTTTGTCAACATTTTCCAATTTGTCTGCTGCCTCATTTTAAAATCTGAAATGACTACAGAGAGAGAGAAGCCTTTTCACTTTCTCTTAAAGCACAGGGAAAGTAACATCAGAGGGCTGGACAGTCTCAAGCCTCTCTCAAGACTAGTAACCATCTTGAAAGTCCTATAATACCAATGACAATCTTATAAGGTAGGCTCTAAATGAGTCAGATAGCTGATGTTAATATTTAGCTCAATATAAATCAACAAGGAAAATTACATTATATTTTCAAAATAACAGAAGATAGCTTTAAGAACAGGATGCCGCATGTTCCGGTTCATTTTTAATAGCCAGGCTGCGGCTAGTACACTTTGGATTTGCAGATGTGGTGGAGAGGGAAATAGATTTGGTTACAAAGCTATCACATGCACACAAGCTATATTAGTATCATGCAAGCATTCTTTAACACGGCTTTGTCACATAAAATACTCTTAAATGCACGTTGCAGTCTGTCATCCCAGGGACAAGATAAAAAATGTAATCTCTGTAACCCAACTTTGAATCCAGCAGTTTGGCTGAGAATCTCTCTACTGGCAGGAAAAGGGCTATGTGAAATAATTTTGAACACGGTTCATTTTAAGGACAGATCGGCAATATAAAACTGCCCTTAATCCATCCCAAATTGGCAGTAAATTAGCAGTCTCAATCAGAGGATACAATGATGGTTGGCAGGTTAAAAGAGCAGTTAAAACATTGGCTGGGCTTTTGTCTAATACATATTATTGGAGCAGAGTTGCAGGAGCTTTACTGTGCATCTGGTCCATGCAATGCATGATCTGGGATTTGCTTGATTGCCTACCAGAGACACCAAAACAATACGAAGATATAAATGATTGAAAACGATACAACACTGACATCTGTTTGTACAGAACTTTGAATAGCCATTATATTTTGTGTTTTACTTGGCAGACATTCCAAAAAGGTCAGTACTGAGTAAAGATCAGTGACTATCTGACACTAAATACTGTTGATCATTGTGCTTGTTACTCACCTGGGACCCAGCTAAATCAGCTATATTTTAAGAACAGTGTTATTATTAAACCTAGATGTCATATGCAAAACGAGAAAGGAGTTTCTCTTGTTTCCTTTCCAACAATCTTCCAGATAAATTGGTCGTGAGATACAGAAAGGAAGAGCCCAGGGAACAGTTCATTTGTTTTTTTTTAAAAAAGGAGGGAATATTTGATGGAAACAAAGTCTTTCAACCCAATTTTGTACTTTTTTTTGGTTAACTGTTAGGTTGATCTATCAGAAAACAGGAATCCATAATGAATCAGCCAATCCGGGAGGCATTAAACAGTTAGAAAAGATAGATTTTTGGAAATTCTGACGAATTTTATACTAATCAAACTCAAAAGTTATTCACATCCACTCCACACTATATTGTTTGAGGATGAATCCACCCATTTAACCAGAAGCATAGCTATGATATAACAAATTAAACCTGAAGATGGTTAAATTAAAACTTATGAACTTTTCCAAAAAGTATTTGCACGTAGACACCACAGGTTTAATGTTCCAATGTGTGCAGTAATCTAACATTGAAATCTAAGACAGGAAATAGAAAAACACCGATTTGCAAAACCAACAGAGGCAATTTGTTAAATAATAATTGATTATAGCTGCAGTTCATTTTCATAGATTTTTCTGTTTGTTTGGTCATTGCACATTTATTAAGAGCAAAAGGAAAAGAAATCGAGAAGTTAACATTTAAATACCACAACTTGATTGATAACTGAAGTAAGCTTTTAAAGGTCATTGTGGCAATTGTTCATTTGTTTTATTCTAACCTTTTGCTGTTATTGTCTTTTTGCTATGACAACTTCTTGAGTGTTTCATCAGATTGTCCATGTTTTTTATACGTGTTACCTGAAGGTTTGATACTCCAATCCTGATTTGTATTTGACGTGTTTTTGGCTGTAAATTTTGTGATAATCAAATGGTAGACCTGGGAAGTGGAGCACTCGCCTATTTGGGGTACTCAAGTGTGAGCATCAAGCATTTACAGGTTAGGTACAGCTTGGGTAGCTTAAAGTGGAGGTAGTTGATTCATTGCTTTCCAAGTTTGGGTGGAATAATTAGCAATACTAATATTACTAGTAGCAGAAAAGCTGTGCAATTTCTATTGCCTTTAGATGGTGGAGACACAGCTGAGTTCTGCTTAGCACTGCCGCTTTTGTGTCAAAGGCTGTGGTTTTGAGCCCTGTATCAAGACTTTGAACACACATAGTCTGATAGGCTCATTCTCCAAAATGAGGGAGCAATGCTTTTTTGAAGGGGCCGTCCTTCAGATGAGATATTAAAACAAGCTGCCTGTTGACTGGTGTAAGAGCTTAGAGATTTAAAAACAAAGTTACATTTACCCTTGTGTGCAGAGGTCTAACTTACAGTTAGGGCTTTAATGATCTCATTTATTCTGATAACAAGAATTATTCCTCCATGCATCTATTTCTTTTCAGGATTGAGAGTGTATTTAGCATGTTGATGAATGCTTCAATCTGTTTTTTAAAAAAATCAAAAGTTACCAGGGTGTAACATCAACCACAAATTCATGAAAGCATTGTAAAAGAATCCCAGTCAATATTTTCGGTGGCAGTTTTACCTGTGTCGGATTACAACCAACCCATTCTCTGCAATCAGCATTTTTATCTTGGTCGGTCAGCATGCCCCCTTGTGTGTTTTCCACTTGCCAAACAAGCACTCGGCTCTGTGAAGGCACACAGCTTTAAGTGAAAGCGTTGTTTCCATATGTTAACACAAATAAATTACTATGGCACAGAATGCTAACACTTTTGAGCAATTGTTTGATTTGAATACCCTGGCTCAGCCACAGACTGGTCACTCACCAGGCCTGTAGATAATAATTGAAAGCCATGTGTGATTAATGATTCATGGCGTTGGTGATAAAAATGGTCTATTTAGTTAAACAAGACAGACGCAATCACAGTTTCAGTCCTGTATTGTTCCTCAGTGAACCGTTTCCTTTGATTTCGCTATATTGCAAAGCTCGTGATTAACCCTCAATTGCCCCCTCAAGTTCATTAACAAATAATCATTTGGTATACATTAAAAGTGGGGAAAGGATTGGAACCATGCAATGTTTACCTCAAGAATTTATTTTCAGTGACAGCAGTTGATTGCCAAAAGTTAAGCTGAACATGGCTTACGACAATAAGTTATTTATGCTAAGACTTACCTGCTTGCAAAAATATTAAGTGAGAAAACAGACCTTTAAAATTCAGCCTGATTGATGGATTATACAATGAGTGGCCACATTTACTTCAGTGGCAGCTAATACCACAACACTGCATGCTCAGTAAACACCCAGGTTTTCTGTAAGAGCAATTGAACGAGTACTATTTGATCTTTCCTGTCTGTCACTTACTGTATATAGCGAAGCAGGTCTGTTCTTTGCAGAATGTTTACTGATTCATAAATACTATCATTTGACATTATTTCAGCACAAGTCCTCCTTGTCTGTAGGTTTTCGAAATTTACATGTGGATGACCAAATGAGTCTCATACAGTATTCATGGATGGCAGTTATGGTGTTCGCAATGGGATGGAGGTCCTATAGAATTGTGAATTCCAGAATGCTCTACTTTGCACCAGACTTGGTATTTAATGAGTAAGTGAATATATTTCTATAGGCTTATGTTGTTTGACAAATTTAAGATAAAATATTGTAATGTAGGATCTGGGCAGATCAGTTATCCTAAATATTACTTTTTATATATGATACATTCACCCAGCCTGGAATGATTCAGATATATTTCTGTAAATCCTAATTCTACTGTCACTTGAAGTTTTAAACCTCCAAGGTTGGCAATTCACTCTTGTTTCCTAGACCTGCCTTATTTAATTTTGAGATTATATTCTTCCCTTACGTTGTAAACAAATTGAAGATCGCTTGGCAGTTCGTAGGTTGGCAAATTGAACATAAAATGACATTTCATTCCCTACAGCTTAAAAATGTTTCCATTCTAAGTGCATATTGCCAAAGTCGCTATAGCCAGCAACATGCTGAATATTGTCTCTTATGTTCTTATTGATTTTATTTCATCCACAAAATATATCCAATTCACCTTACAGTATATGCTGTGACACACTTTGAGACGTCTCAAAGACATAATAAGGCCCTATGTCAAATGCAAGGATTATTATTATTATACATTGACCCATTGGTAGAAAAANTACCCTTTTAAATAAAAATGGGAAAAATTGGAAAATCCAGCACACACAAAGTTATCATTGGACACCCTTTATTCTGGAGAGCTAGAGAAGTAGGCTTGCTTGGTGATGGCCCCTACTACATTACAATATACCAACATGCACTAATTAGTTAATCTTCCTGCTTAACCCTTTTTCTTATATATGTGTGGACTTCACTTCTATTTAAAAATAGCTGGTTAATGTTTATGCAAAGTAAATATATTTTCTTAAACTGTAAAATAGTTTTGAACTTGGTATATATCTGATTCACAGTGACGAGTTACCTGGAGTGGCGAGTGAGGCATATGCATAAATACATAAATAAATAAATACGGCTGTGATATTGACAGCGCAATCAATGGCTTAAGTGGTAATGATAGGTTAATTCGGGGTCGAGTTATGAGGAGTTTACTGTTCTGTAATTTGACCACAGTTAAAGAAAAACTGCCCCCAAGATTTTAAAATTACAACTCCTCTAAAATGTCTGAAATTGAAGATGCTTTAGTGCTCTATCAGAATTCCATGTGTCAAGTACCCAGAAGATCACAGTCCAAGACCCATAACAAGGCGCAAGTCACAATTCTTCTGCACCACCCAGAAGAAATTGCATTTACTAACCATGACATTCTGTAGCTTGCATCCTTGCACACATTTCCGGAGATTTCTAGATCCAACATAAATGTAGAAGTCACCACACCAGGCAAGAGAACTATTCCGGCAGGCAGACAGGGCGTTTAAGCAAAGTTATTTATGGGAAAGCAATACTTTTTCCAGAGCATTCTCCAGATCTCACTGGCAAACTACCAAGCTCACTCAGTAGGATTCTCACCACAGGGCAACAAAAATATCAGCAATCAGTGTATATAAAATGTGTCTTTTCCATTGAATAAGAAACCCAATGGTTGACAACTCTCCTGTAGTACTAGGATGCAATGGATGACCTAGATTTAAGAATTTGGATAACTTCACTTGATATCTGACTGCTAACTCTCATCAAGAACTTTTTGAGTTTTCCAATGGACCAGTTGCTCTGGGTATACAGTTACAGTAAAATTTTCTTTGGGAAGCAGGTGGAGGAATTGCTAGTAGTTTATGTGAAACACCAGCAGAATCTCAGCTCTGGCCCCTGGTAAAGGCATGGAGAGGCACCAGGATGAGATGGAGCTTTGAAAACTCTAGCTGTGATCCTTTATGCCTAATTCTCTATCACCCGGGTTCAAACAACTTACAACTGCAATCTACTAACCAGCACATGTTCTTGTGTTCATCATATCTCATACTAGCTACAGTTATATCCATCTATCCCTATTCCTTGTACAATCGTGTACAATTGTACAAAAAAAAGCCCACTTGAAAGGTATCCTGCCAGCAAAGCTTAATATTGTCTGTGTTCTTCTTTGAGATTATGCTAGAGGAAATGCTAGGAAACTATAAATAGAAGGGATTAATCTCCAGTACTTATTATTAGTTCTCTAGAAGGTTGGCGGTTCCTGTCCTAACTCAGTGGAATTCTGAGGGAAAACTGCATTGTATGAAAGTGAAAGCCTTTGGATGAAATATTTTACTGAGGTCCCTTCTCTGTGTTCTCTTTGCTCGGTTTAATGTTAAAGATCTAATAGCACTATTTGGAAGAAGAACAGGAAGTTCTTCTGGCATGCTGCCCAATATTTTCTCCTCATCCAAATGCACTGAAAATGAAAACAGATTAAAATTGGCCGTTGCTGGTTTTGGCCGCATTGCTGTGTTAGATTAGATGTCACGTTTAGCTTTGTGAGATATTTTTACATGATAATGCAGTATCAAGTACCAAATATTTTTATTCTACTCGGTCATGCTTAAATAGGAGAAATTCAAAATATTCTCATTGGCTCAGATCATTCACAGGCCTGCTTGTGAGTCTGGCGTGGTGGACCTCAAGAGTTCATTGCTCAATGTTGCATCACAACATGGAAATTCCTCAGGACATACATCCTGGGCGCAAATTACCAACACCGAGTTCTCCCCTTGGGACTCACATCACCCTGCAGGCCTTCACAAAATGTATTTATTTTATTTGCAATCTTCTTGAGGCTTCAGAACCTGAACATCTGCTTTTACAATTACTTTTTGGCTTCAAGAAGTTAGGATTTCTCATAAATCTCGAAAGGAAAATACATCTGGATCCTCACAGACTGGCGCCAGTTTTCAGAAAATCTCTAAACCCCAAACTGGTAACTGGCATTACAGTGGAAGGTTAAGTTCTTCAGGATCTGGATTTTATAAGGCATGGACCTTATGGGATTCATGTTGGATTCAATACTGAGTGAGACTGTTACAGTTTAGCCTTTGTGTAGATAGACCAGTCCTTTGGCTTGGTTTTGATGAATTTTACGAGCACAATGCTGCCAGAGTGCAAATTGCAATGATCACTACTCCCCTCTCAGAGGCAGTTAGAAACTGCAGTTAGGGTACATATGGGGGCTTAATGCGCAACAGGACTCAGTACCTTCATACTTGATACATAAACAAATTAGAAATTGAGATCTGCATTGTCTTTCACCAGGTCTATTAGAAATGAACAACCGCATGCAGGTCGGTTTTATCCACAAGCGAGAACAACACTTTCCTGACTTTTCTAAAACAATGCATTCCAGATTGGTTGTTGCCGGTAGAAACAGTAAATAAAAATCTTAATTGAAAATTCATCTAAGTTCCTGCCAACACTTGAATACATCTCGTATTGGATCCTGGTATCCCCTAATTAGTAGGCTGTTGGTTAAAGATACAGCTGTTTCTTTCTGCTTGTGTAGGATCCTCATTTAGCCTTTTAGCTTACGTAATTGCTCTTTGAACTTTTATATTCGCACATTTCTGTCACAAAAAATAGCCTTGTTGGTTGGCTTTGTTTTTGGCCTGGAAATTTAATGAAAGGCAGGTTCTTAGCTGAAAGGCATCTAATAAAATTCTCAATCTGTCTTGAGGATAGGCCTGTTCTTACATCTCAACCTAATTTGTAGGTAAAAGAAGCTATCAGAAAATAAATCTCAAGTCTCAACCACATTTTAGGCCAATTTCTGGAGAGCTTTATGTACAGCTGCTGATTAAATAGCAGCTGTGATTTTTTATGAAACTTTACCAACAAAAATTTACATTTATACAGCGCATTTCACAGCAGGAGCATGTTTCACAAGCTGGATACCACTTGCATCTGTCTTTCAGTTTAAGAGAGCTTGCTGTTCAGTAGATCTGTTTTGAATGCAGACATTTTATTTCACCTGAAAAGTCCACTGAACTTTTCTGGCAATACTATTTGGACAGAAAGCAAATGGTAAGCAAAGGTTACTATCATGAACAAAAATATCTTTTCTCCAAGGGTTTCCTTCATTCCTCTCCCCAAATGCTTTAAATGTTGAACAGGTTCCACCTGTCCCTTTCAGGGAGTCCAGGCACACATCTCATTGTTATTGTGATCCTTGTTCTTTATAGTTAATTACCGCCATTTTGCATACTGTGTTTTGAATTTGTTTTCCTGGTAAAAGAACTGACAATTCAACAACAACAACAAGATTACATCTGACGATTCCCAGGGGAACCGTACTTTGCATTGAGCACAAGAAGGGGCGAGCGCTGAGGTCAAAGTTCTTTTAAGTGGGTATTGCTCTCTCCCCACTGATAATTGGGGGTTTATTCCTAGTGAAACATGGAGAGTCATTACATGTGACTTTGCCCCTTCGAGATGGGTAATCCAGATTTCTTCCAGATTTAACATTTATCTTTGGGAAAATTCCTAAACTAAATTATCTGAAAATACTGAACCAAGTAATATATATTAATAGCAATTGATTTTAGCAGGAACCTTCAGAACACAACTGCATAGTGATTGAATTAAATAAATCTTAACTTTTAAACCAGAAGCTTTGCTTTTTACCTCTTTTACATAAATACAACTTGCACTTACATAACAGCTTTCACATCGGATAATATCTCAAAGAGCTTTTCACATATGGCGCAGATCGCCAGGTAAGTAGAGGGGTATGAGGATGTTGATCGAGTACTTGGTTAAAGATACGGGTTTTAGGAGGGTTTGAAGGCAGAGAGAGAGAGGGATAAAGGTGAAGGCATTACCAGAAACACCATAGAAAGTGTAAGATTGTAAACTGCAAGTTTCATCTCAGCCTGTTTTATATAGATATATATGTATTTATATATGTGTTTCTCCTTTTGTTTTTATACGTTTAGTTAAAGATTAGATAAAATAACACTAATTTGAAGACCAAATATTAATTCTTAAAGTAAAAGCATTAAGATTTGGTCTTTAACATTTGTGTACTTTATAATAGTATTAGTGTGCTAGTAATGTTAGGAAACATAGATACTGTATATTGCAGTCCTTACCTCTTGCTTTCATTCACGTATACTTTTTCCTTCATTTACAGGCAACGGATGCAAAAATCATCGATGTACGATCTGTGCATGGAGATGCAGCGGTTGTCCCAAGAGTTTCAGTGGCTTCAACTCTCCCAGGATGAGTTCTTTTGCATGAAAGTGTTGTTACTGTTTAGCATCAGTAAGTGTGTCTCTCTCTCTACTGCAGAGTAAGGTACAGGAGAGGTACCTGATTAAAATTGTTAATGATGAAAATGTTCTTATTCATAGAGTTTATTCTCATCCCTTGCGCTTTCGTAACACTTCAGCACTAATTAAACTTGTTTTTGCCTGGCTAAATTGTAATGGCTATTTCAGATATATTTCGAATACACTACTGTGGAAAACTAAAATGGCCAAACACCATAGCTGTGGTGGTTTGCAAATTAACCTTCAATATCTCATTGCTAGTTCCAGTGGAAGGTCTGAAAAACCAGAAATACTTTGATGAGCTACGATTGAACTACATCCAGGAACTGGACAGAGTCATTTCATTTCACAGGAAGGACGCTCCTTATAACCCACATCGCTTTTATCAACTCACCAAGCTCCTAGACTCGCTGCAAATAGTAAGTTAATGCTCAGATTTAGCAGTGGTTTGTTTAGGCTACATTAAATTAAATTAACTTGTATTGTTGAATAATCTAACTGCCATAGATGTTTCTTTGTCATTGAAACAACAACTTTCATGTGCTTCACAGAGCTGACTGGGAGATGCAGGTGAGGAGGAAGGCTGAGTGGGTTGGGGGGAGAGGTGGCCAAAAGCACAATCAAAGAGATAGGTTTTAAGGTGGGTTTTCAAGACCTTGAGGGAGGGTCAAGGCTGAGGCACTTCAGCTGGAGTTCCAGAGATGGGGTCTGAATTGCTAAAGGTTAGCCCACCAATAGTTGGGCAGATTAGGTGGAGGATATGAAGCAAGCTGAGGAGAGATTTGAATAAGACAATGTTCTTGAATTAGATCCATTGGGGATGGAGATCCAGTGGAGCCGAGTGAGGATGGAACACATCCACGCTATATTCTGTTATATTGTGAAAATAACTAGCAAGTGGTCAGATATTGTAGAATATGACAGTTTGAGACACGACATGTCAAGCGACTGCCAGGATGGTGGAAGGCAAATTGGACAGACCTTGGTCTTTCTTTCGCCAGCAAATTTTTATGTTCTAATTGTTGATGATTAACAGTTCATTAGTGATAGTCAGAAGTGAGTTCTAATCAACTACTCAACAGACATCAATTGAATCCTATGTCTATAATGCATACCATTATACCACACATTAATTGAATGCATAAAAGTAGAACACTAAAAGCTAGGTACACATACTGATTTTAAATGTAAACGACTGCCATGGATTATAGAGCAGTGTTGCAGTCTCACGTCTTCTCAACTGTGACATAGCCTCCATGAAAAACTAAATACTAAAATATTTCAGGTAACATTATCCAATACAGTATAACAGTTAATATTTTCTAGAAACAATGAGTATTTACTTTTGGGGAGTTTATACTCGAGATGGTTTGGTGGAAGGGTGACTTCAGGTTTCTCTGTAATTAATTGCTAACTGTTTGAAAAAGGATATGGCTAAGACAGGAGGAAAAATGTTCAACTCACTGGAACCACCACAAGCATTGTTTGTGTCAGCCCCAAGCCTGGAAAATTCCACCCTCAACTAGCCCAGGACAACTCCATTCCCAGCTTTGCCAAGCTGAAACTGAATCAGCTCACCAGCATGTACGTTACATCAGTCTCTCTAATCATGTTATTTTAACATCCTGGACAGCCCAGTAGGTTAAGCTCTGCACTTGGGCCAGAAATTTTGTGGCTCCACTCAGTCTCTCTTTCTCTCCTGATTTATGAAATAGAAACTTTGTCTAACAGTATCCTCCTGGGTGGGAAAGGTAAGCAGAGTCGCCATAGATTTAGGATGTGGATCAAGGAAACATGCCCAGTGGCAGATATGCAATAATCCAAAGCATCATTGATGGTTGACCAGCCTGACTGGGTCAACATTGTGATCTGGAGGTATGATAATAATGATGATTATCGTTGCATTTAATACAGTGCTTTATCATGTTAAACATCTCAAAGTGCTTTCAGAATGTTTTTGCAATGTCTTACGACTGTAAATCTGCAGGTGAATATGGCAGCCAATTTGCAAACAACAGTGTCCCAGAAAGAACCATGCAGTGAATAAGCTTTTTTTTAATCGGGTGGGAAGGGTGGGAGAGTGATTGGCAGTGAGGGTTTGTTGGCCAGGATACCAGGGAAGCTCCCTTCTCTTTTCAAATATTGCCATTCTATCTTTAAAGTCCATTTGAATATGCAGACAGGACCTTAGTTTGACATCTCATGCAAAGGACGGCAGTTCCAACAGGAATGCTTTCCTAGCACTGCATTGGGGTATCAGCTTAAACCATGATCTCATAGCCATGGTGTAGGGCTTGAACTCAAAACTTTCTGACACTGCGGAGATACGTGTTAAGCCAAGAAGTGCAGATTTCTCTTCAGACCTGCAAATCAAAGACTTAGCTAGACAAGGTCCTAGCTGGACAGTTACAATCAAATTGATCAGTGTTTCATACCATTCCACTATCCCTGATCCTTTGTGCTTTTTCTGCTTTCCTACAATATCCTTTTGCAGTTCTTTTCTATCATATATGCCTGAAACTTTTTATTTTGAAATTTGAATGTCTAACATCTTTTTAAAACTCACTTTATGTTGTTGTTGAAGTAGCAGGTTTTGGTGAACGAAGTAAAACTTCTAGATAACAAGCATTGAATTTATTTAACAAGAAATGGTGAGGTGCCATCAAACTGTCTTTGTTTTAATCAGACCAGAGCCATTTTTCTTTGCCATTTTTTAAAAACAATAAATAACAATTACTATGCTTGCCATTCTGCAGTTATTGATATTTTACTGTCCTGTTTTCTCTCCGCACTGGCAGAGTGGAAAACGTGAGAGCAGAGTCAGCACAAATGATAATTGTGGCTAGTTTTAAAACAGAAACTTTTTTTAGCTTCTTATTTGAGGAATAAAACAATCTTGTGCATTCCTGTAACTTAGTGATTAGAGCACTCGCAGGCGAGAGGACCTGGATTCAATTCCCAGTAGGGCGAAACATTGGGCAAGTTTCCTTATTCTACACGCCTCTGTTTACCAAACAGTAAGTAGGATGCCAGTGTTAGTTGATTGGCAGATCGCTTTTCCGGGGGTAATAATTCCCTTAAATAAATAAACAACAATAATTTGCTCACTCAATCTACAACTGTTTTTGGGACACTGCTGTGCGCAATTGACTGCCACATTTCGCTCACAAAATTTACAGTCAATTTACTTTACAATATATTCTGCGAAGCACTTTCAGACGTCTCAAAGACGTGATAAGGGCCTCTATCAAATGCATTGATTATTGTTATTATAATCTTTATTATTCCAAATAATTGCTGTTGGAAAACATAGTTGAAGCCTTGCCCCACCAAACACAGGTCTCTACAGTTGCCTGTTGGGTGAGACAGCCACAAAGATAAAAATAAGGAAAAGGGAAACGGCTTAATTCTTATTGCTTTTATCCTAGTCAGCGGTTTCATTAGTTCACAATTTGCCTATTTCTAACCTTCAGCTAGTTGGCTTTGTTGGAGGAGCAAACACTGACACTTAATGCAATGGATCAAATGGCATCCGACTATCTTGCAGATTTCAATGGTTCTAACTCCTTGTACCTGCACAAGAGAACATAGAAATACACAGGACCATAAAAGACTGTTGTGGTCATAGGTTTAACTTTGAACTGCAGCAAGATTTCACTGATGTTATAATCTCTGACAGTCCTGACATTGTAGTTACCTATGATTCATTCTTAATGGAACTTGTTAAATGTGTGTCCATCCTTGGCTGGCATCTTGTTAGACAGAACGATGACACAGAGGAAGAAGGTTTGTCTTATATTCCAAGCAATGATTTGTAACTTACTTTGGACTAAAATACTCCTCAAAGAGATGAATGCTCTTTGGCAACAGTCTGCTATCACCATCTGATAGTGGTTTTATCTGCCTGTTGGGTATTATAAACACAATTCAGTCATCTACCTAAGTAGAAGAGGGAATCAAAAGTTGACAAGAGAGAGTAATAATCGAAGGAGAAAAAATACATTTTATTTAAAAAAGTAAACACCAACATGTCACACAGTCCATTTCTTTTCAGTCGCTGGTTTGTTGCCCAATTCCATGTAAATAGCTTCTCAGTCTATTGATCGACTTGTATGAATACCTGCAAATGTAAAAATAAATATCCCAAAGTACTTTCTAAAATACACTTGATCAGAAATAAAAATAAAGGCCAGCAATTCACAGAAACAACAATGTAACGAGCAGCCAATTGATTTGTGTTTGTGGCTAAATTTGAATTAGGAGAGGAATATAAATCAGGATAACAGGGAAATGGGCTCCATCTTTCTTTGGATTAATGACAGTTGGGTCGTCCCTTTCTGTTCCCTCGAATCAAAGGCAGATGGAAACAATTTAATAACAATCAAAACATTGAGATGATTATCTGGAATTGAATAATTGGGTTTGTTTTGAAGGCAACAGATGTTGATTGTGCACTTTATCAGAGCCAGATAAGTATTGCAATGTAACAGCAACCCAACAGCTAAATTTAACGGAGCGCTTGTACAAGACAAGTTTATAATAGGCTATTGGAAAAGTCAATGAAAAAAAATTCTAGCAGAACAGAACATTGTTGCCACCAAATAAAAACAGGCTCCACTGGAGAAAGCTGAAGAATTCACTGATTAGACTTTTGGACTGATTATTTCAATGTATGCAGTTTTCTTGTTATCTAAATAATTGCTTTCCTTTACTTCCTTTCTGGCACTTCCTTCCTTGATAATTTCAAGACTCAGATTTTTCGCGGTTGGCAAAATTGTGCAAGTGTGTGAAAAACAGCTCCCATTTCTATTTTAATGACGTAATATGAAGGGATTTTTGAAAGAATTACTGAGGTTTGGTAGCAGTGCAGAAAAATAATTTAAATAAAAATTTGGAAAGCTTATTATATGTCAACATTTTCAAGCCCAAATGTTTTTAGCTTAAGAGTTGTTTAGTAAGCCATAGAAATAAGATGTAAAAATCTTAAATATTGTCTCCTACCAAAATTTATATTTTTTAATAGTTCTGACGAAAGGTCATAGACCTGAAACGTTAACTAATTTTCCTTTCTCCATGGATGCTGTCTGACCTGCTATATGCTGTGTGTTCCCAGCAACTTCTCTGTTTATACTAGATTTCCAGCATCTTCAGTACTTTGCCTTTTATTTTTTNAATGTTGGCTTTAGTCAACATCAGCAGATAGATTAAGTGTGTCATTGCTCTATCCACATTAATTTCATTCAGAAGGCAGGGGAGAGAAATTCAGTCCTTCAGAATACTTATTATTCAGTCTTGTATTATTATTATTCAGTTTTGTCTTCGACAAGACCCTTCTCTTCGACCGTGCCTTTGGTCTCCCTCCCACTTCTCTGCCTTCCCTCACCCCTACACCCGCCCCCCTCCCCCATTCCCCGTCCCCGACACCTGACTGTTCAGCACTTTGAGACGTCCTCCCCACATGAAAGGCGCTCTATAAATCTGATTTTGTTGTTGTTGTTGTATGAACATTTTCAATTGATTGAAGGTTAAACGTTGAATGTATTAATTCATAAAGGAATCATATTTAAAGTTCATATTTGTGATATGTTTCTACCTTGAAATTCCTTGCCTTTGGCCAGTCTTAATGCAGATTTGGCTTTTTATATTTACACCAGGGTAAATAATGTTAAATATAAGCTCTGAGACGTGATTAGTAATGAATGTTTTTCTGTCAGATAAGCAAATAAATATTAAGGCTGAACAGAAAGCAAAATGGTATGTTATCAGCTCTGGCCTGCACCAAAATACATCTCTTCTCCCTTTGGCCTGTTGGTGCCTTAACCGGAAATTGCATGGATATGTGAGCAGCTCGAAGAGTAGAACTGGCTGCTTTCAGTTCTCATAGGCATCTTACCAGTCATGTAACCAGGCATCACATCTCCCTGTTGCACATCTCTTGCCAAGCATAATAGGCATGTGCCAATCAACAGTTTTATTCCAACCCTGAGCAAGTTTCCTGTCTGCACTGTGCTTTGTATCTAACTAATCATGAAAGCACCTTGTGATCCCGGGCTGGCATACTGCCAGCTGTTTTACTTGGCTGGAAGCATGCACCAATACATCCTTTAGCCAGTGTCTTATAAATAAGACAGACCAGAGTACAAGGCTTAAAATTGCAGAAATAGCATCAATGGATTATGATTGAAATTAGTGTAACAGGTACCTTATAGTATGTTAATCTTGTAATCGTTTCGCCCACAAAATATAGAGTCAATTCACTTCAGTCAATGCAAGGATTATTGTTGTAGCTTTACTGCTTCCTTTGCAGACAGTTTCTCTCTCGCATCATCAGATAAATCTTACCTACCATCCTCTGCTACATATTCACCCATTATTTAAATACTAAATCAGCATTTTTTTCCACCCAAATAAACAGTCCCCTCTCTCTCTGTACACTAAATTGAGAATAAATACCAATCACAACATCACTAAATTAGGGCAAACTAATCTCGCCGTGGCATTTACACACAAAAGAACCAGAGGGGAGATGGGGAGAAACTAACGCAAGAGTTGTTACGATCTGGAATGCACTGCCTGAAAGGGTGATGGAAGCAGATTCAATAATAACTTTTAAAAATGGAATTGGATAGGTACGTAAAAAGGAAAAAAAAATTGCAAGGCCGTGGGGAAAGAGCGGACGAGTGGGATTAATTGAATAGGCTGAATTGCCTCCTACTGTGCTGTAGGATTCTATGAAATACACGCGTTCGTTCTCTCTCTCTCCTTTACATATTTTTTTCTTTGCCTCTCCAATAAAACAAAACAATAAAAGGCCAACTGATTGGCAGAATATGTGTTGGAATGTTGATTAGTGAATAGCAACTAATCAATAAGATAGTGTAAGATAATTACTATTATACACAGGCAGAGGAGCAGATATGTGCCTGCAGGCCTCTCCGTGTGTCTTGACAGGTAGGAGCATTTTTATTTGTGCCTCAATATCTGTAGGCCTGAGCTTACTGTAAATGTACATCACACATAGGATGCAACACACACTGAACATGAGGAGTACACACTCTGTGGCTACTTAATGATCTCCAATCAAGCCTTTGCACAATGGCACTGAACAGTCGGGGGTCAGGACCCGAGCGTGGGTGGACAGGGTTGGGATGAGGGAGAGCAGAGAGGTAGGAGGGGGAAAGGCCGTGGAGGGCCATGAAAGTGAGGACGAGGATTTTGAATTCTATCCTCTGAGGGATGGGGAGCCAGTGGAGCCGGGCGAGGGTGGGGGTGATGGGGTCACAGAAGCTGGTGTGGGAGAGGACACGAGCTGCAGAATTCTGGATGATCTGCAGCCTGTGGAGGGAAGAGTTAGGGAGGCCGACAAGGAGGAAGTTTACGGAGTTAAAGTGCATTGCTATCACAGATTTACTCCCCGATTTATACACAGCTCTCTTACAACGCAAAATGGATCCTCCTAGATGTCCTAATTCAAATAACTGAAAAGTTAGTGGCATATGTCCAAACCCTACTTGTACAGTCTGGGTTAGAAGTATTTTTACTCCTTATGTTATTTTTGTAAAATCTGATTTTATTAACTTGATCTCTGCTTAGTACTGGCAGGACCACCGCTGTGGAATTAGGTCACCAGAGAGCTAAACTAACGGTATTTATTATGACACCATGGCAGTTATGTTTTTATTTGACTCTAAATGCACTGCAGTTTATTAGTTTACTGGTGTACTATTTCTGCCATCGTTCGGTTGAGACAGTAAACCGAGGTCACATCTGTGTCTGTTCAGGTGCACATTAAGGATTCCATGCCACTATTCGAAAAGAGAAGGGAGTTTCTCCTGGTGTCTTGGCCAACAATCCCCAAAAGACCTGGTTACTCACTTCATGGCTATTTGTGGGACATTGCTCTGAATAAATTAGCGGCCCAAAACATCACTCCAACTTTACAGTAAATCCTGTGAAGTGCTTTGAGATGCCCTCCTGACGTGAAAGGCATTGTACTAAATGTAAGGGTTATTATTATTATGCATAGATTCTAATGGAGATTACACCCATTCTAATTTTGTTGATTGAACTTTTAAAGTGAGCTTTCAGCCATTCAGATGTTTTTTAGGGGAAGTAATTTCAGAAGGAGGAAAATAAATAAAAGAAAAACATTATAAGTTACAGTTTCAGTTTCTGAAAGATGTACAATGTAGAATAAAAGTAAAATTAAAGTTAAAAATCGAAAGGAGAAAATTATATTCAACCAGGGAAAAAAAGGAAGAACAGGACAAATAGGTGTGAAATATTGAAGTGTGATAAGCTTTTATTTTTAATTAAAATTATAATTTTAGATGCATGTTTATTGTGAAATTATTTCCTACTTTGTCAGTAACTTTAATCTTGTAATATGGTATTGAGGTTTCGAGTGTTACAATAGATGAGCTGAAAACTTAGCGCTACGTATTGCACAGAAGAACTAAGCCTTCAGGAGAGGACAGATTTTAGTGAGGTAAAATAATCTGATTATTTTAAACATTCTGAACCTGGCTCCGGATGAGGCTAAATTGGAAACATGTGTAAAATAGCAAACTAAAAACCTCAGCACAGTGGAAGTCACTTTCTCTGTATAGTTGTGAATGCTCACTAACATTTTTTCAAACCTAATGAATTTTTAAATGTCTGACGAGGTAATGGGATGACTGTCTTTCAAAGGAGATAGACTTTCTGCACTTATTATTCTTTTGTATGTCAGTAAGGGAGGATAGACTAAGATATCTCAGACTTATTTTAGCCAAATTGCTTAGGTAATGATGTATATAACATGGGGCAGATAATCTGGAGAGCAGTTTTGTTGGTGTTGACAGGAGACTGCTTAAGGCATCCTCATGTGGGTATTTTGTTTAAATCTTACAGTTTGTACCTCAAAGTCTGTAGCCTCCAAATGACTTATTTTGTTCAATTGCATATAGAGTGCAACAGCAACAAGAAAGAGACAAGCTTGTAGGCAAAGCCACAAGTGACCCATTAGCTAAAAATATAGCTTTCTTATTCTCCATGTTATACTATTGATCATATGAATTAACCAAACCTTATTGTCTGTTTTCTAGTATCCCTGTATATTATCATTTAATAAACTTTTAGTCATTTATCCTAATTGTTAATCCTTCAGTATAGAACTGCATAGACATAGACCATCTAGATCATTGCTGTCTGTTGCTGGCAGCAAAAAGATATATAAAATATATCACCTCGTTCAATGACTGTCTCAAGATATAACTCTTTCACAGCACTCCTGGTCAACTCTGCCGTCCCCTCGGTTCCTACCCCAGCTCGGGTGCCAAGCCAAGATTGTTAAGATTGTTGGGACATCGTCCCACCATGAAGAGTACGGTGTAAATGTAAATTTGTATTGTATTGTTTGAAGAATGAAATATGTGAGTGTAATTTCAAGGGAATAACTAATCTTGGGGTTCATGTGACCTGAATATCCCTGTGTTCTGAGATACTCTTTAAAGTGCTTACGGCCTTGCTTCCGACTATGCTTTTTGTAAAATATGGAATACATCACCAAAAAAAATCATCTTGTCAAGTCAGTTGGTACATGGTTCAATCTCCTGCACAGATTTAATCAGGTTATTTACATGTTAATTTGCAATAGACTTACAAATCATAAATTGTTCTTAGAGATTAGTTTACCTGCCTGATCAATTGATGTATCAGACTCTATTCCTTTAAACCATGCAGTTTTACCCAGTAATTGGCAGCTCATTATGTAGTCAGTAGTGAAATGGCAGACTCTGTTTGAGCATCAATAGTGGTACTGAGTACAACAGGAAACAATGTACTACAAGCGGTGACAGATACCTGCACCTGATTTTAACGTAAATCATCACTAAAAATTGGATTGTATTTCCATTATCCCTTGTGGGGTGCTTTTTCATTTCCTATGGATAATAAGAAGTTGTTATATTTATAGACCTTGACAGTCAAGATAATTATAATCTCCCTCCCCATGTCCACCAATTTACACTTCTGTAGTAAATTTGTGAGTTCATAACAGGAAAACCCCATTATAAGATCTCACTACCAAGATCTGTAAATGTGCCACCACCCTTTAAGGAATCGCTCTTAATATATATATTTTTTAAAATTACACTAAACACCGGAGACGAGACTAGAGGGGCTGGGAGTAGATTTAATGGAGGTGTTCAAAATTATGAGGGATTTGATAAAGGGATTTGATCCGCTCCCCGATCCCCCCAGTCCTGGCCAGACTGCACTGCTGGCTGTCCCAGAGAGGATCGATTTCAGGAGCCTCACTCTTGTAATCAAGTCCCTGCACTCCTCTGCACCCCCCGACCTCTCTGACTTCTCTCCTCAAAACAGAATCCATTGCCTTCATTCCTCCGGGTCTGGCCTCCTCCGAGTCCTCCGCTCCACTCTCGGCGGCCGTGCCTTCAGCCACTACGCCCCGAGGCTCTGGAATTCCCTTCCTCACTCCCTTCGCCTCGCCCCCTCTCTTCCCATTTTCAGGTCTCTGCTGAAGACCTTTCTTTTTGACGGCGCCTTTGGTCACCTTCCTCCCCCTCCCCCCGGCTCGGCCCCGGGATCCGTTACTGTGAAGCGCTCTGAGACGCCATCCGGCGTGGAGGGTGCTATATAAATCCAAGTTGTTGTTGTTGTAAAGAAGGTAGAGAGAAAGTGTTTCCTCTGATGGGTGGGTCGGTAATTAGAGGACACAGAGAGATGAGGAGAATTTTTTTTACCCAGAGAGTTGTTAAGGTCTGGAATGCACTGCCTGAAAGTGTGGTGGACACAGATTCAGTAAAAGCTTTCAAAAAGGAATTAGATAGGTACTCCTTGAAAAGGAAAAAAAATGTAGGGCTATGAGGTAAGAGCAGGGGACTGGGACTAGTTTGGAGCTCTTTCAAAGAGCCGGTACAGGCAAGATGGGCCGAAGGGCCTCTTTCTGTGCTGTAAAATTCCTTGATATTTGATTCTTCTCACTTTTTTTCGCAGACGGTGAGGAAACTGCATCATTTTACGTTTGATCTGTTCGTTCAATCTCAATCTCTGAGCATCCAGTTTCCTGAAATGATGGCAGAAATCATCTCTGCTCAGGTGCCAAAGATCCTCGCTGGTATGGCCAAACCGCTTCTGTTTCATGAACAGTAACGTTCAGTGCTTACGTATATTATACTGCCTGTACCCCTTTACTACCTAGAGTTCAGCTTGTTTTCAAAAAACCGTCAGTTCAGTTTGATACCATGTGTGACCTGATTAAGACATTTAAAAAAAGAGTTCTGCAAAATCTTTGATTTCCAGTGGCCTGTTGACCACTGAGTTACAGCGTTGGTTCTGTTACACCACATTGAGGAGGGTTGGTAAATTGGATGTAATCCTATTGACTAGTTGTTATTTTGGACCATACATAATTTCTAGTTAATATGTTGGTTACGTTCAGTGAATACCAGCTATTTTCACCTCTTTTTGGTCCTTCAGATTAGTTGTCTTTTCTGATTTGTACTTAAAGCTACCTACATTTTTATTTTGAAACTACCTAGCCATCTGTTTTCATTTTAAATTCCTAAAGTATATTGAACATTAATTTTACCTAGTGTTAGATATTGTCTCAATTCATATTCCATTACATTGCTCAATTTTTTTTGACAAAATATAAATTTTGAAACACATTTGCACTAAAAAAAACACTTCCTTTCCTGAATACTGTTTGTTAAAAAAACAGTACACACCTGGTAGGATTGTGGAGATTTTTACCAAAATTCATAACAGTCTTTTTTTAAAAATCTACGACAAGGTACATTATATTGGTTTGGTGATAGACCTTTTCATGTACAGTTATTTTACTGGAATTATTTGTGTTCTGATGTCTTAAAAAAAGTAAACAATTGAAAGTAGAGAAATACTGAGGGCCTTAAGTTTTAAGATTTTGAACTGTTTAATTATTTTAGGCGTGCACAATTGATGACTATTACTGTTGTGCGGTGCTAATTCTGTGTGCATTTCCTATTTTAGTACCTTTGGTGCTGCGTAATGGATGTGTACCTGTGCCTGATGAATATTCAAAAGAGCTTTATTCCACATTTTACATCTATAGAAATGTGCTTTTAATTAAACAGAGTAGATTTACATTTAATGATTCCTGCAGTAAAGATCAATACAATATCAACTGGATGTTCAGACACTAGACTGATTTAGAATTAGTCTGATTTCTAATTCCTGCCACAACATCAACTTTTGTTTCTATATATTTAGTCATAAACATAAGTGCTACTAAATTTAGGCATTATCATTAATAGTGGGAATACAACTCCTTCAACACAGCTAAGCCTTCACCAGATAAGATACCACAGTTTACGATGCAACACCATTTAATTTTTAAAAAAATTAAAAGAGAGACAATTTTTTGATACGCAACCTTTCTTGCTGACTTTTGTATCTTTGATTGATAATTCCCCCCACCCTTTTATCGTCCAGATGTTAAACCTGTTGTGAGAAGCTGTTAAGCAGCAGAAACAGGTCTAATGCTATTTTAAAATGTAATAATGATGTGCGTTTGTAGCATCCCCTCCTATTTGTGCTAGGCTTGACTGCCACGTGTCACTAAACGTTGCTAGCCTGCACAAATTAAGTAAGAAACTAGGCCATGTCTTGCACAAACTTGTTTGAAAAAGAAAGATCTTAATGACCAGAACAGTCTTGAACAATAAAGTGTAGACGCCCATTTTGTCCCTAATTTTGAGATTATGGGCATGTTAGTGAGCAAGCATGTTATTAAATAGGCATGTTGTTAAACATCTGCATAAAACAAAAAAATTCTGTAAATTTCAAAACAACTTGAATAATATAAAGTAAAATAATGGAGTTACATCCCATTTCTCCATTTGCAGTATTTTCGGAATAAAGTAAATGTCTGGTGTAAAAATGTTACTGTGGTCCTCAAAAAGTTACAACTATTTTTTTAAATTGTGTTTGAAGAACGCCAATGTATTATGTAGCTTGTTCGGAATCCTTCATGAGCAAAAATTGCTCATGTTAAATGCAGCCAAGTGACGGGCTAAAACTAGGTGTACAATTCTATATGTAAATTCTTTCCCAAAGAATTGTATTTTTTGGAGGGAGAAAAAAGGAATAATTTTTTTTTAGATTTTTTTAGCACATTAAAGCTACCTACTACTTATTTTAAAACAAACCTAGTTCTATATTATCTTTGGGTTTTACAGGAATAATGTTGATTAATGAAAAGAGCAGACTTTGTCATGTTTCAATGTTACCAGCCAGCCTAAAATACCAAATTTGTCTTCTTACATAGTTTGTCGCTAGATCGATAAATCAGTTCTGTGGAATATTATGTGACAGTGGAGTCCTAAACATTCTTCTCAAAACTTTCTTCTTAAAAATGTTTAAGAGAACCCCAATTTGCCCAGAGAAAGAAATAACTTGGTGCTGTAAATTATACCAAGTTTTGAAGTCCTGCCTAGTTTCAGAAACAAATGTATTGTTTACTGTTTAGGGATTACTACATTGGAAATTTGACTCAAAACGCTGATTCTTACTACCTTGGCTATTATACTCAATAGTTTACACTGCGTATCAGGAAGAGTGAATGTAATATAGGGATCCCTGTATTACGTTTTAAGTATCCCTCTTTCATTGGCCTTTAAGTGTTGTCAAGTGTGCTACAGAACACTCTGCCTGCAATGTTGTAAGAAAGACAAACTTCAAACTGATCACAATTGCAAGTGGCTTCTGTTCTTCAGATGAGGCAAAGATCATTCACCAGGTAAATGTATGAAGCTTCATTGCAGTGGTTAGAAAGAGTGCAACGACAATGGAAATACCACTATGATAGGAAAATACATCTTTAATCCAGTTATTCCTTTTCAACAGAGAGGATGTTGTTTGCCCTAATCCTCCCTTCAATCAAATGCCCCTGTTAAGGTACTTACTGCCCATTTGCTGGGATATATGTTTCAGTTTTGATGCATCATTAAATATAACTTTTTTTTTGCAAGATTCACCCATCTCCTAAATGCAAAAAAAGGTATTTAAATATTGCCATTCAGGCACTCGATAAAATATTTTCACTATTAACTTTAAACTGGAAAGGTATCACAAGAAACATGTTGTTAATAGTGTGTTGATTTGACACATAATAGTCCATTATGGCACACTGAGATTTGTTTATGTTTTATGCGATCAGCCACTCAATGTGCAAAACGGGTAGGATTTATAAATCAGAACACTACAGCCATTCTTTAGAAATGTTACAGGTATGATAGAGGGATGCCAGTATTTCTGTGTTGTACGTGTTGCATGTTGCACTATATCATTGTTTGTAGAGAATGTGAATTCCTCTAACATGCAGTAAAATCATGTGGTGCCATTTTGCTGGTGGTGGTCCAATCACATGATTCAGTTGGGAAAGTCTATGTTTGAAGCTGGGCAGCACATTTGGTGCTGACACCCATCCCTGGCATACTGAACAAAACTTGCAAAAAAAAATTGTTTTTATATAAACAGAAAAACTCCAAACAAGCTGTGCCTAATTCCAATCATATCAGGTGGCCAACAGAGCCTCACAAGGGTTGTAAAGAGGGATACTTAGGTCTTTCTCAGACCTCACTTGTATATCACAGAAACTTTACACTTCAGGTACAGTGATATTGAATGAAAGCCATCAGAGTATTAGAAAGCCTCGTTCTTTCACACAGCCAAGCCCGGGCAGCCTAGTGAATGCTTGTCTAATGTGGATTTCCCTATTTTTAATGGTACTAAACACCAAACTACTAATTCTATGCTGTTCTAACCATATGAATGTACGCATTCCCCCCACGTTCAGTTATACATACCGTCAATAGAAATAGTCCATCAATTCCATCAGTGGTTTGAGGATAAAAATATTTTGTAAAAGAAAATAGCACCTTATAAGTGACAATTTTTATCAGTCTATTTTGATTCTTTTTGTATCCTTGAGCATTTGTTAATAAACGAATATGCACACTTCTGTATATTCTATTATTGTGGAACTGTATGTATGTCATATGTAGCCTTTGCAACCCAGTAATTTGCTGCATTGTTAGAAAATGTTGCTGTAACCCTGATGCCGTGCTCTGTCTTTGTTTTTTGCTGTTATATTTATTAGTGAAAGATTTGTGAAGCAAATGATACAGGCAAGTAGGGATTGCCCTGTCTGGCTGCACTCATAGACAGGCCAGACTACTGTAATGTTACCTTGTGCTGCTGTATCTTAGGCACGTCGCAATCTTTTTGGGTTTTTCTCCTTTGGACAATATGATGATCATTAAAGAAAGGTGTAAAGCAATATTAATAATGTGAAACCACAAGTTAATGATTTGGGTGTTCTAAGCATTAGAATTTTGTATTTATCCTGTAATTATTTTTGTATATCCAATGCAGAGAGCACTTTTGATAATTTATCTTCATTTGTTCCAGAACAAAAGACATCAGTGTGCTCTGGCGCCCTTTTACCTTGATCAGTCACTACTCACAATTAAATTTACTGTTAACTGCATTTCACAATCATCTGAGGAAATCAAACAGTCATCACAATTATTCTGGCTTTTACACATCGAGATATATCAGTGTATCATGACATCACTATCCAACGTTCTTGTGTTATCAATGCTACAGTATCCCTTTCTAATGCTTTTAAGCAGCGAAGTTCAAACCAAGATAAAATGGTCTAAATGTAGCTCAGTCGTCTGAAAACAGATTGCCTGTTTAAGCTTTTTTTAAGCCAGGTCATGTCTGATTTCCAGGTCAGTAGCCTGTTCTTCCTGTGCGCAATTGGCTGCCAGGTTTAGCCCACAAAACATGCAGTTAATTCAATGTACAATATATTCTGCAAAGCGCTTTGAGACATCTCAACGACATGATATGGTGTGATATCAAATCCAAAGATTATTATTATTGACAATATTTGGTCTCATTGCTGGAAGGTCCTCCAAAACAACCTGACAAGGATCCAGCCAATGAGAAAGAGTGTCTTGTCTGCTCAGTACCTCCTCTCTACATCTTGGCCAAAGTTATAGACATAAACCACTTGATTACTCCCATGGTACAATGCATTGGAGCACAAGCCCTGCTGCTAATTGAAAACTTTTATTTACTGCAGTAATGTTGGTGACATTTTTTTTCCAGAGTAAAGGTTACAAATCTGAAGAAAGCTTGGTGGTATTTTAAATGAGATTAATAGTACTTGTCCCAAATGTAATTAAAACCAAAAAATCAGCTCACCGTGACTCAAATAGTCTTTAATTTATTCAGAATGTTTGCCGTAACTCTGACGTGCCTATAGTTAGGAGCGTGTTATACGGGTGATTGGGGCTAATCACAGGTTGTCTCCAGGAGATATCCTCGCCTTGTTCTGTGGGTGTGATTGGTAATTCTGCCGCTGAGCAGCTCAATTTAAAAAAAAACATTAAAAGTCCCGAATTGATGATGTCGATTTAGGAAATAACTTGGTCATCAATAACAAAGCGTAGAGTTTTAGTTTTAATTTACATTCATTTCAGGATTTCCTGCTCTGGGAAGTTTATTGAGCCTGACAGAGAAAGGGAACTGAATTATCATACAGCTACTCTTTTAGGTTGTGTGATATCCTTTATTATCAGCTCACTAATAGTGCCCATAATCCTCACTCATTTAAACAAACTCATTGAAAATTTGAAAGAAATGGACTTAAAACAATATAATACTAACATTAATATTAGTAATACTTAGTAATGTTTGATGATAAGGCCCCCTTTAATATCCAATTATACAGGCATATTTGTGGCACAGTACTGTTCATAAATAGCACTAACTGTACTAATTGCTTGTACTAATTGCCACACTAAGTGCATTCTAACAGTCTTGCAGTCAGTGGAGGGGATTGTTAGAATTGACTTCAGTGAAAATAACAGAAACATTCCTGTTTATCCCTCCCATGAATCAGTGGAGAGATATGTGCACACAGTAAACATTTAGCCAGTAATTCCATAAGATTTCAAATAATTATTTGCTTTCAGAGCAAAATTGGAATTCACTCAGCCTTTGTGAGTTACGGTCCTTCACCTCCATAAAAAATCTGCCGTAATTCAACCTTAACTGTTAAGACATTTGTTTATTGAATCTAACAAAACCAACTGAATGGTGGGCTAGCAAGATACTGCCAATTATAGAATCATAGAAATCATAGAATCGTACAGCACAAAAAGAGGCCATTCGGCCCATCGAGTCTGTGCCGTCCCTTTGAAAAGAGCAATGTAATGTCAGTCCCTCTCCCCGACCCTTTCCCCATAACTTGCAAACCCGTCCTCAAATACCTTTCCACCGCGTTTTTAAAAGTAGTTATCGAATCGGCCTCGACCGCCCTTTCAGGCAATGCATTCCAGATTTGAACAACTCACTGCGTGAAAAAATGTCTTCTCTCCTCCCCTCGGCTTCTTTTAGAGACTATTTTGAATCTGTGACCTCGAGTCACCGACACACCCACCAGTGGGAACAGGTTTTCCCTTTTTAACCTATCAATTCCCTCATGATTTTGAAGACCTCTGTCAGATCCTCGTAACCTTCTCTGCTCCAGTGAGAATAATCCTAACCTCTCCAGCCCATCATCATCATCACGGTCCTTCATTCCTGGTACTATCCTCGTAAATCTCCTCTGCATCCTTTCCAATGCCTTAACATCCTTCCTATAGTGTGGGGCCCAGAACTGGGGCAGTATTCTAACTGAGGCCTAACCAGTGTTTATATGGGTTAATCATAACCTCCTGACTCTTGTACTCTCTGCCCCTATTCATAAAGCCTAGAATCCCATTTGCCCTTTTTACAGCTTTATCTCCCTGTCCTGCCACCTTCAAGGATTCATTTACCTGCCCCCCCAGTCTCTCTGTTCTTTTACCCCCCTTAAGATTGCATTACCAGCCCTCTCGACCCTCTCGACTCTCTTCCTCCTCCTCGCTCCCTCCCTTCCCTCCCCTCACCCTGACCATTTCCCCCCTCCTCTCTCCCTCCCTCCCTCCCCTCACCCTGACCATTTCCCCTCTGCTCGGGTCATGACCCAACTGTGCAGCGCCTTGGGACGTCCTCCTGACGTGAAAGGCGCTCTATAAATGGAATCTTGTTGTTGTTGTTGTTGTTGTTGTTGTATATTGCCCCTCATTCTTTCTACCAAAATGCATTACCCGCATTTCTCCACATTGAAACTCATCTACCACATGTCGCCCATCTTACCATCTGTCTATGTCTTCCTGCAGTTGGCTGTTTACTACCCTACCTAACCTTGTGTCATGTACCTATATATTGTAGCATAAGATTACTTCCCCCCCCCCCACCCCATCCCCACACACATGCACATAATTGTTAAGGATTCTCTTGAGATGGTATTAAGTTGGTAAAGCGAAAGTCTTTTATTAAAATTGACACTAGCAGCTGTATTGTAACATTACAATGCATTTAAGCAATAGACAGAATGGAGATCATATTAACCGATCCCAGCTTCCTGACAGCAGTGGTTGTAACTCAGTCAGTTGCTCTTCCCCAGGTCTCTGCCCTGAGTGCACAATTCCACATCTTATTATAACGGTAACTATGCCAGCCAGACACGTGCATAAACGGTAGTGATTGCAAATTGTAGCAGGCGTACATCTTTTGTAACACAACTACTCAAGACATGTACCATATAAAAGGTTGTTTCTACACACCAGCGCTCAAAGCCAGTGCTGCTCATCCTGTCCTTTGATCTGGGCTTCCTCAATCTTCCAGTTATGTTCCTTTGTCTCTCAATCGTGCAATCGTTATCACACTAATCAGTTTGTTCCACTTCCCCACAGCTTGCACCATATCTTGCTTTCATCTACCGTGACCTTAAAAAGAACTCCACACGTTCAACTCCACAAGAATGTTCCTTACTCATCAATTGCTCACTTTCATCCTGGCCTCCTGATCCCTTAATTCATTTCAATATTGCTACTAATAGCTTTTTTCAATAAGCCCTTATACATAACCCCATAATCATCACACTTCAGCAATTATGCTCAATATAATTTACTACAAGTTGAATGCATCCTTAGTCAGTGTCATTGCTGTACCACACAGAATTGTTGTAGGGTTCAGTGCTGGGTGTTGTTCTTTGTCATCAATAAATGATGTAGTGTGAGGGTCAACTTGACCTAAATACTAACCAAGGTGTGTCCCCAACCCAACTGAAAAAATGGCTGGAGTTCAATTCACTTTTACTGTTGCCTTGTGCACTAATCTATTGTGTACAGTTTTGGAGGAGAGGAAGGCATTCAGAAAACAAATGGAACTCAAAAGTCTTTCACCTGCAGTGCAGAACCAACGTACCTACCCGTTACAAATTATACAATAAAATGTAGATTTATACAGCGCCTTTCATGTCGGGAGGACAACTCATAGCACCTCAATATGAACGGCCAATGTAAAAACCAAAGCACCTAAACAGAACTAAGGTTCCCTGACCAGCTCCACCTGTTCATTATGTCGAATATTCACAGTTTGAAGCACATTTTTAAGAAGTAATGAATCTCTGGGTTCACCTAATTTTTTTTAACGTTAAAACCCTTTTGAGCTTTGACCCTAAAATTTATTAGAAGCACCATATACTTCACCTTTTGCTGACAAATAAAGGCCTGTTGTGCACAGAGTTAAGATGCAGTCAAATAAAGCTATTAAATCTCTTTTCAAACTTCATTTCAAATCACAACAGAATCACAGGAGACTGCTGTCTGGTGGTGCACAGTACAACATTGAAACAGTTGACCCCAAATGGGGGAAAAAAGACATATAATTTATGTTGCATGAATCAAACAGAACAACACATACCTCACACTCAGAATTTATGGTATAATCTGAATCGCTTGACATATTAATGTCTTGTAACAGACTCTTAATGCATGCTGTACCCTGCGAAAACACTACAAAACTGCATAACAAGCAAACCACTATTTGCTGATTTTTGCTAAGTTCTCTAGGCCCTTAGCTTCACAGTATCTGAATATTAACATATAACTAGTATGGAAAATATTTTATCCATGAAGGTTAGCCACAAGCTTTCAGTTGATACGTAATTTATACGATTGAAATTGCCATTCCACGGAATGTTTTCCTGGGCCTCCAGCATTTATTGCCAACCTGGAGGGCCCCTGGCATTTCCTTTGCCCCTCTTGTGCTCTGCTGGCTGGGTTGAAAGACATGGAAATTATCAAAGAAGAGAAGAAAAGTAGAGGAGGGTTCAGGAACAAACATAAAGATAAGATGAGGGTCAGGACAGCCACTGCAAAAATGTCCCTTCACACCACTACAGTATATAATCTACACTTGAGAAGTTTCAAAATGAAATCCTGTACCTTTTTTGCCGCCTACATAGCCTTGTGGCGGAGTTTTATTTGTTTTGTTTTTGTGTGCTTTGCTGTTGAGATTTTGTTCAGTGTCTGAATTCCCAAAGCTGCTGCTGCTCTATTATCTGAGACAGGCTCCCACCAAGACAAAACAGAGACAGGGTCAGTTTCCCTCCCAACTACACTACGGAGGTTGCATTACTTTTTCATGAAAAAAAACGTAAGAGATGCAGCAATATTATTGCATTCAAGAGAAGAAGGAATTCTTCCCATTTGGGATAGTGTCCGTTGTTGTGCTTGGCAAGCCTCTAACAAGCACATGTGACGTTACAGGCTTTATTAAGGACTAGCTGTACCCGTGCAGCTACGTTTGCAACCAGTTTAATTTAATCGGCCTCTCTTCCTCTGGTGTTTTTATTTGTCCTTGAAAGGCTTGATCTTCGCTTCTTAGGCATCTTCATCCCTTAAGATTCAGAAAATGTGCTGTTGCACTGGTTAGCATCCCTTGTACACATATTTGCACAAATATCCTGTTGGGAGGACTCAGTGGGAGAACTCGTATTGGGAGGACTCTGTTGGAGTGCGTACATGTGTGATGAACTTGTTAAGGTCACGATAGGAGATCCCCACAAAAAATACCCCATGACACTCCCCATGCAAGACCTTTCCAACGAGGTACAAATCATGTGTCTACATCAATCGGTTATTGCGTTCTTGACGGACACACAGACGGACACACACACACAGACATTTCATCTTTATTAGTATCGATGAAATGCCCCCCTTGCTGCCAAAAATGCAAGAATTAAGGAAAAAATAGTGTACCTGAGGGTCAGTTCTAAAATGCCTCATCTGTAAACACATCGCTTCAAATGACAGCTCCATTTCTTACCTTCCCCCACACTGATGAAGCCTAGAAAATGCAAAATTTGACGGATTAATCCACTTTGGCTGTTCTTGTCCAAACTCGCATCACTTTAGGGCAGCAGTTATGCACAATTGCAGCAGATTTGTGATTTACTGTTCTGAAAAAAATCACTTTTGCCAGAATAAATATATATATATACAGTAGCTAATAATAATAATAATAATAAATAGGTACATGATGCAGAGCAAAATTGCTGCAGAGCATTATTTTCTAATTGACTGATGTGATGTCTAGTACTTGCTTGTAGTTTTCAATACCTGTTAACAGCTCAGGTTTATAAATGACCATTAATTAAACTCGCCACTGGGTCATTGTCGTAATCAATGACGTTGCTTACTGCAGGAATAATGTAAACTATAGAAATTAAGAACGGAAATTATATCAATTTAAATCACCAAGTCTTAGTGGTGGTGGAGCTTCAATGCACTGTGCTACACAAAGGTATATTTTGTGCCATATCAACCAAGGCAAAGGTACATGGCCATGTGATCAGCTTAAACAAAAGAAGGGTTTGGTTGAAAAGGTTTTCACAATGAGAAAACACCGACTGTATTTAAGCTGACGGAAAGGATACTGTGGCTCAAAGCACATATATTGTTGTAGTTTGGTTGCATTTCACAGGGGCAGTGTTGTTGCATTTGTTTCATTTCACATGACATTGCTTACAACAGTAATAATGTAAGCTGTATAGAAATTCAGAACAGAAATGATCATCTTCACCAATGACCTTTGTAATTTGGGTTTTGTTATCGCTGTGAATAAAAAATGCCTTGTTTTTTTTCCATCTGGTTTGCTCGAATGTAATCTAGTGTTTATTATTTCTATTGCCAGCGTTACTTTGGCCGTCCTTTATTAAGGTTTTTAGAATCTGTGTTACTCAGAATTAAAAGCCAGCTTTTAAATGGCTTAGAACATCAAGTGTTTGACTTCCAACAAAGAGAAGCAAATTTGAATTCAGGTCTCGCATTACATTTGTACTTTTGCTCCTCCAGAGAGCAAGTCTTGGCTGGGTGGTGTGAAAGAAGGGAGAAGTCTTGACGAGAGAGAGAGAAAGGTGCCTTCTTGTCCAGCTAAACCCTGGCAGCCGTCTGTGGAGATGTCCATCAGATGGAGCATTCTGACATGCTGTCTGAGAAGGTTAAGTGAGAATGTGCTGGGAGTGGGGAGAAGCCTGAAGATAACGTAAGTTCTGGCTTTCGGTGTGGATGGAATATTGAACTCCAGCCAGAGGGTTAGCAAATTGCAAACCTGAACTCCAGTTGTATTGCAACTTACAGAAGGAATGCTCTTATAGATAACACCCTGTCATACAGTATTATATGCGGTCTCAGGGGCGGGGGCTGGTGGGGGGAGGTCTGGATAAATAGGTTGAAGAAATTCAAGGTCAGAGCTGCCCGTTGCCTGGTAAGAGGGCGATAAAGCAATCATGGAATATCTGAAAGTGCAGGAATTAATGGAAATTTGATGGGTTTCGAAATAAGACAAAATAAATCATTGATAATGGTCTTTACACCGTTTCCTCGATTGGTGCCTTTTCCTCCTGACCTATGTTTCCAAACCTGGCTCTGCAACAACAGGTTAGTCCTGTGTTCAGAGAATAGGCTGTTGATAGATTGTTGGAAACTATTAACGGTTTCTCTCCATTTATGCGCTATATATTTCAGAATCAGATTTAAAGTGAAAATGATTTGTTTGAATCAAAAGTGCTGATATTGTTCCAGTTCATTTTCTGTTTGAACCTTTTGTTCCACTTTCAGACTCACTTGCAAGCACTCCCTTTGGGGGAACAGGCAGATGCTGTGAAGGGAACATGTCTGCTTTTGATTTGGAAGCTACATCTTTCCCTATCAGCCATTACAATAGGCATGGGACTAGGAGGGTATCACAATTATTCTTTGAGTGGATGAATTTTTCCCAGACAATGCAGCTTTCGAGTTCTCTACCCCTGGACTAACGATTGGTACATCAGCCTAGACTATTAATTCAAAGTGCCAACATTCGTCTTGAATTCACAAGCTTCTGGCTCACAAGGAAGAACACCTCCCCCCCCCCCCCCCCCGCCCCCCAACTGAGCCAGGCTGATACCTGATTAAATGTAATTTAATTCCCCCCCCCTCACCCTCTCTACACCTTTGCTCGGCATCGCAGTTTGTCTGTGGCTTATTAGAATGCAGTGGATACTTTGCAGATCAGACATTAAGACTTTCAAACCCGCTCCCTTGTTTGATCAGATATTTTACTGTTGATTAAAATAATGTGTTCATGACTGTGAACGTCAGAGGCAGTAATGCCAAGCAGTGTCGATGCTCGGAATCTCACACCCACGTCTGTACAAACCTCGCAATTTCTTACTATAATTAAAAATAATCTTCAGACTAATGAAAGTCAAGCAGCACATAAGTGGCCACTTTGTTAAATCAAGTTTTGTTTAACATGAATTTAATTTACAGGGTTTAAGTTGTCTGTTCTTTTATACCTGATGTCAATTAATCGTGTTCCAGTGATGAACAGGGAAGTGGGGGTGATTATGGCCTTTGCACCCAACAGGAATTAATCTGGTTTCCAGGTAACTGAAGCATGTGGGCTCTGGACTGAAATGGACTTCCCTGGGGAGACAAAACTATTTAAAAATATGGAAGATGTGAAAGTAAAACTGTTGATCACTGTACATAGGGCTGTTCCTCTCTCTCCTTATATATTACTAAGGTCATATGACTAATCATGGTATCTCACAACACAACAACCCTCCCCAACAGTCCACACTCTCATGAGAGTCTATCTAATACATTATATATCTGTGTATAATCACAATCAAGAGCAATACTTTGTACGTACTCTGTGACCTCCTTCATTCACACTCAGCAAACAGTGACCTGCTTCACGTTCCCCGCCCTATCTGCCCCACCATCGGCAGGCAGGTTTTCAGCCATTCTGCCCCCGCTCTCTGACTCATTCCTTCCCTCCTCTCATTCACGTTTAGAGTCGTTGAGCCAAAATGTATCTATAAAAATTTCCAATTTAAATGTCTTCCCCACAAACCATTTGATCGTCAAGTGGAATGTAATTTTGTTGTTGTTGTGAACAGCAAGCGGGCTTCTGTGATGGTGTTGAGCATCAAATATACAGCAATCGCTAATAATAAGGATCCTTTTGTTATGTGGGATTTCCCACAATGAAAAGATCACCAGTGAAAGCTTGATCCAGATTATCGTACACGCATTACTTGAATCTAATTGCTTTAATCCAGAACTCCGCTGCCCACGTACTCTCACCCACAGTAAATTCCATTCCCCCATCACTCCAGTTCTGGCTAGGCTCCAATAGCTCCCTATCCCCAACAACAACAACAAAATTACATTTACAGAGCGTCTTTCACATCGGGAGGATAGCCCAAGGTGCTGGAGAGTCAGGGGTCAGGACCCGAGCATGGGGGAGGGGTGGTGTAGGGGTGAGGGAAAGCAGAGAGGTGGGAGGGCGACCAAAGGCATGATCGAAGAGAAGGGTCTTGAGACCGGCCTTCAAGGAGGCAAAGGAGGAAGAGAGGTGAAGAGACCGTGGGATGGAGTTCCAGAGTGTGGGGGCAGAGAGGCTGAAAGCTCGGATAGATTTCAAGATCCTCACATTTGTCTTGAAATCCCCTCACGCCCCTGGCATCTCCTGACCTCTCTGACCTGCTTACACCCCATCCCACTACCAGCCGCCTCCAGTCGAATGGCTCCAGTCTCCTGTTTGTTCCTCGTGCCCTCCGTTCCACCATCAGCAACTGGGCTTTCAGCCGCTGCGCCCCAAAACTCTGGGACACTCCCTGAATCCCTCCACCTTGCCCCCTCCTTCCCCATCTTCAGGTTTGTAATCGAAGACCTTCCTCTTCGATCGTGCCTAGGGTCACCACCATCAGCCCCTGGCTTGGCGAACTCCGCCACTGTCTAGCGCTCATGAGACCCTGCCCAGCATGAGGAGGGCTGGATAAATGCAAGTTGTTGCTGCTATGCAGTTAATATCAACTGTGTTAGCCTCAGCATCACTGCTGAGTGAAGGAAGAACAGTCAGTTCTGACTTCTGAACACATACCCCGTTGGTGCTAATGTGTTCTCTCTGTTGATGTGATTCACATCGCCAGCACCTGTTCCAATACTGTTTCTGGTTATTTTGAGGATGTTCAGTGAAACCTGTTTCTATGCAACAATCGACCGGCTGTACCGAGAACAGTGCTCAGCAAATAGGAAGACACAATTCCTTCTTGTGGCAAAGCAGAATTGCACATCAAGACTTCAGTTACCACAGACTGCGCCCACTCTCTGGAACTCCATCATGGAGCCCCTCTGCCTCATCCCTCCCTTTCCTCCTTCAAGGCCTGTCTCAAGACCTTCCTCCTTGACTGTGCCTTCAGTCATCCTCCCACCTCCCCCCGCCCCCCCCCCCGAACCCGCAAACCCCCAACTCGGGTGCTAACCCTTCAGTATCCAGCAGCACCTTGAGAAGTCTCGTTGTCGTCGTTACAAACCACCGGATAAACATCAATGACCCATTAAATTTACTCTGAACACATTCCAAACCTGTTAAACACAAGACAATGCCAGACCACAAACATCTGGGAGCAGTATTTTACTTTTATTTTAGAGAGCAAAGATGTTCATTTAATGTTCAGAGAAATGGTTAAAATCATTACCAGGTGCCAGTGTCTTGAGTGTATTGTGAGCCGGGCTGGGGCAGCCTAAGTGTATTGTGAGTAGACTTGTACAGTATGTGTGTCTTCAAGTCAAAACATGTGGAAAGCATTAAGAAAGTGCAGCCCGAAGCTCCAGCTAATAGCTCGGCTTTTTCAACCATGATATTGGAAGAGCCACAAACACATAAATCCTGACGTGTAAAAAGTTTAGTGTTCACATTTTATGTTTCTTAGTTACTTAGCTCAGTGGTCAGGGCCCTCGCCTCACAAGCGAGAGGACCTGGGTTTGATTTCTGGGCGGGGTGAAACCTTAAGCAAATTTCCTTCCTCCACACGCCCCAGTACCCAGCAGTAAATCAGAACCCAGTTGTTAGTCGATTGCTTTCCAGGGGTAATAATCCCTTCAAAAAAAAATAATAATTTGGTCACTTAACTGTTTGTGGGACGCTGCTGTGCGCAATTGGCTGCCACGTTTCGCCCACAAAATACGCAGTCAATTCACTGTGCAGTGTATCCTGTGAAGCGGTTTGTGACGCCTCAAAGACGTGATAAGGCGCTGTATCAGATGCAAGGATTATTATTATTATTATTACTTATTTCCCTGCAGAGCTTTTGTACATCCCTGAAATGTACAGTTCAGTCAGTGGACATCCATTCACCTCCTGTGCCAACAGTAAGGGAACTCGTGTGAAAATCGTTTGAAAAATCTGCTCCCTGAACAAAGGAATAAAACTACAACCCTGTGGTGTCTCTGGGACTGATCGGATAATTTCTGTGATGGCTTTTTTTCCGTATTTACTTACATTTACACAACGTTCCCTCAGGCAGAGCAGCGTCCCAGAGGACTCGAGAGTGGCGGAGCCTGACACCAATCCGGGGGTGGGGGGGTGAGAGGTGTTTGGGAGGTGACCGTAGGCACTGGTCCAAGAAGAAGGTCTTCGGGCGAGACCTGAAAATGGGGAAGAAGGGGGCAAGGTGGAGGGGTAGAGGAAGAGCGTTGCGGAGTTTCGGGGCGCAGTGGCTGAAAGTGCGGCCGCTGATGGTGGTGAGGAGGCCACCAGCGGTTTAAAAAGAGCTGGTCAGGTTGTACGGTCAGAGTTTGAGGTTTGCTGGGAGCAGTTGAAGCACTTTACTGAAAGTTGGTAGATTTTCAATAGAGTGTTAAACTACATTTCTTTCTTTCTTTCAGCTGCAACAAAAAGCCTTGTGTGATTTGCTTTTCAGTGGTCTGGTCCAGCCGACAGCAGTTCATCAAGAGAAAGTAACTCCTACCCTCACTGCCCCAGTACCTGAGAGTTTCTCGCACACACTGAATGATTGTCCAAAGTTGAGCCATAATCCCTAACCCAAGGAACATGATTAGCTGTTACTTACGTAACTTTATCTGTTTTACATCCTTTTCAAATCACTAACTTGTGGTAACTTCCGAAGTCTTGAAGTAATTTAGAATCCTTCGAGCAGATGCTTTGCTATATCACTTCCAATGCTTACCTTTAGTGTCTGTTCAGCCTCAGTCTGTAGCGCTCTCACCTCATCTGAGGGTCAGAAGGTTATAGGTTTAAACCACGTGTTGGGACTTGAGCCTATGTTCTGTGGTTCACTCAAAAGTGCTGTATTGTCGAAGTTAAGTCTTCCTGTTCTTCATCATTGATGATCCTGTTGACATTAACAGGAAAATGAAAGGAGTTTCTCCCGATGTCTCAGCCAAAAACCCTCCATCTTAATTGTTCATTCACTTCCCGACAGTTTGTGGGGTTGTGCTGGGTGCAAAATAGCTGGCAATTTACCCGGAATAACTCACTTTCCTCGTGAATAATTACTGCAAAGTGCCTCTGTGGTGTTTTGCAGTGTATGTAATGTTTCTTAATATAATAATAATCCTTGCACTTGATATAACGCTGTGTCACGTCTTTGAGACGCCTCAAAGTCTCAATTCACAGCATATACTGTAAAGTTAATTGACTCTATGGTTTCTGGGTGAAATATTGTATAAATAATATCATAATAATATTGTTTGAATAGTATTGAACTTTCGATTAAGAGCTTCACATTCTGGATAAAGTAAAAGTTGAATTATTTTAAAATAACGGGTTTTAAACTGGTTTCCATCGTCTTCGAATGAACAAATTGTTGTGTGGTCGGGGAAGGGGGTTACATGGCCCCCCCACCCCACACACACACACGGCCCCCAACCCCCCACCATAAGAAGCCAATATTCTACTTTCCTGAATTGGTTTAATTAAGCTAAACAACTCCCTGTTTTACCGCAGCTTTTACTGTCAAACACAATACTGGATTAAACGTTTAGATACCAGTGGAGAACTGCAACAAGGGGTTAGTGTCCAAGCTATTCTCACTGACAACTGGATGTGTGCCGGGCTCTATCTGATCCACATAAGAAACTCGTTTATAAAACTAGGCCAACGGCAATAACAGCCGTTGACCTTTTAATAAATGAAGTACTCATCTGTGGATTCTTAAAAAAGCTATAAAGCTGCCTGCAATGACAAGGCTTAATAATAACCTGTAGCAATTTTCCCATCATTAGTTTATGTTTATATTTTAGATAAGATACTCTTAAGCATGGTGATGGGTTTCCATGTGTGTCAGACAACCGGCTGACAGCCCCCCACTTTATATATAAAAACCAAACCAATGATTGGAAAACAGGATATTTATGTTTTAATTCACAATTAAATCCAGAATTGTCCTGAAATAAATGGAGGACCTTTAATTTAACAAACTGTTGCTTTATAGTTTTCAGACCCATTTTGTTTCCTTCAATAAAGTGGGTAAATTAGATGCTGTGAACTACAGCTCAGCCAAATGCTAATGTTCCCCACTTTACATACGGCCCTAGAACCCACATGGGCAGTTAGAGGAATTATACGATCCAGGAATTATTTACACTTCACATTACTGGCGTTCCAGGCCCATACTGATTATTTGTGTGTTGTGTATGTTGACACTGGAGCAGAGCCTGAGGCTCTCCTCGCCCTCCGCCTGTGCATGCACGTCCAGTGGGAGGGTGGGATGGACAGGAACGCGGCTTCGCCTCTCCCTATAACTCAGGTGCATTCAAGCCAATTGTTGGGCACTAACCTCTGGTTTGGAGGAGATCAGCTAACCAGGCCCGGCAGGGCCCTAACTAGTCAAGTCTCTATGGCTCAGCTGGTCACTGAGTAAACCTGCTGAGGTGTTGGGGGAAGCCAGTCAGTGAAGCAGCAGGAAAACTTCCCACATGAAAGGTTTGCGCTGCAAATTATTGTTTTTACACAATCATAATTTCATTCTCCACTCAATGAAAATATACAATTTAATAAACTACGAAGGGAAGGAAGCTCACATTATAATATAATAATACATGCCTTTGGTTCAGCACCTTATCACAACGTCAAGATGGTTCAAAGCTCTTCACAGGATTTTACTGTCAAGTGGAGTCACTATTTTGTAGGCGAACGAGGCAGTGAATTTGTGCACTGCAAACAACAACAACAAGATTACATTTGTATAGCACCTTTTACGTCGGGAGGACGTCCCAAGACGCTGCAAAGTCCCAGCAAACCACAGACCAATTTTGTTGGCCTAAACACTGAGAGAAACTTCCTTCTCTTTTTGAGTGGTGTCATGGGACCTTTAACATCCACCTGAACAGGTACAGACACGACTGTTTAACGACTCAACAACACAGCCGCCACCACTGGACAGTGAGCTCAAAGTCCCAATGTGGGGCTTAAACCCACAACCTTCTGACTCGAGGCAAGAGCGCTACCACTGAGCCAGGCTGACTTGCTGGGGTCTTGAACGAATCTTGTCAAGAAAGCCATTTCCTTGCCTTGTGTGAATCATTGACAACTCTGAACTCAATCTACAGCCAACACATGCGCAAGCCACAATTCATTGCCTTTTCCCCACCCTCCAAAATATTAATTGCTCTGGGGAAAACTTTCCACTGCTTTAAGCATGTGTCACCTCTTGCTCTTGTTGTAGTCTCTGTGTAAATGGCGGCCTTGTCTGGCTAAAGATATGGTGACCACATCAGACAGTAATTGCCTAAGAAACGTTTAAGACATTTGGCTGGAATTGGGTGCTATAAAAAGCCAAGAGTGTTTTTTTTACCCGGGAACCTCCCAACTCTCAAGGGATTGAACTTTCCAGATGTTGGGGGTGGGGGGAATTAATGACGCCAAGAAACTCGATCTTTTAGCCCCCCACCCCATGCACACTCACACCCTACCACTCACTCACACACACACCCTACCATTCACTCACTCACACACACACACACCCTACCACTCTCACACACACTCACACACCCTATCATTCACTCACACACACACCCTACACTCCCACCCCCAACACCCCAATTTTCACCCCCTGCATTTGGCTAACCAAACGACTAGTTCTCCCCCCTCCCTCCCCGCCCCAGTCGTCGCTGTGTCTGCCTCTCTGGCTGCCGAGACTGTAATCGAAAGCCACTCTTGGTTTGCTCTCTCTTAAGTCAGATGCAGTTCACAGCACAGGAAGCAGGTTTACCACAAAATGTTTCCGTCAAGTGTGTTCCTGCAGGACTGAAAGTAAAAGAAGAAATGTGAACCCACAGAATCACATAACGTAAAGTAACAAAGAGGCCATTCGGTCCCTTGTGCCTGTATCTGTAAACTCTTTAATCATTCTCACCGCCTTCTCAAATCCTTTTAGATTTGCGGCTTATTTCTCTTTTATTGGTTTTTTTGAGGGCTAAGAGGGGTAAGAGCCGAGGAGAGGGACTAGTTGGTAGCTCTTTCAAAGAGCTGCACAGGCACAATGGGCCGAATGGCCTCCTTCTCTGCAGTGAGTCCATGATTCTACGATATTTTCATCTTCTAAAGTCACCAATAACCAGCGGTCCTGCTGCTCGCAGATTGCCCTGAGGGGCTACCGGGGAGAGAACGAAAACCAGCGAGGAGCACAAGCAAACCTTTAATCTGCCCTCGGCGTCTTCTGTTCAAACCTAAACCTGGGCTCAGGCTGGCAAAGGGGTGACAGAGAGAAGGCCGGGCTGCGCTGCACTGCACATTCCATTGTCGCCATGTGTTTGACTTTACCAAACCATAAAAGCTTAAACGTTAAACTGAAGAGTTGTTACTTGTTAATGTATGATTTAAAAACCCAGACCTAAACGACACGTATCCTGGGGGGTGTTAAATCCAATGATAAAACACACACTGTTCAGTTTATTATTACCTATAAGAATGTATAGTTGGTCTCACCAACAGCTGTGGTACAGTAATGCTTTTGTTTTGTAACAATGAGTGGTTTGTGCCCATTATCCTGGCCGAGCTGAGCAGATGGAATGCTTCTTCACACTCTGAAGGCTGTTGCTTTGGTGTTTGCCAGACAACCTGCTCTCAAACCTGCCACCTTCCGTTCACGATCAGCTTCCGCAAACTCAAACTTATCCAGAAATGATCCCTCAGCAAACTCCGCATGCCCAGCACCCCCACAACAACAACAACAACAACAATTACAGTTACACAGCGCCTTTCACCTTGCGAGGGCGTCCCCAGGTGCTGGACAGTCTGGGATTTGGACCGGAGCTGGGGGTTGGGATCAGATGGGGGTTGAGGGCAGGGAGGGTAGGGGAAGGAGGGGGTTGAGTTAGCGTGGTGAGGGAGGGGGTGGGGGTGAGTTAGTGAATGTGAGGGGTGGCGTGGGGGATGGAGCGAGGGTGCAGAGGCAGCTGAGGTACACACTGATGGGATAACCTGATGGCAGAGAGCGAGCCTGGTGTCTGGTTGCTGTGTGGACCATTGGAGGGGAGCCAGAGCTAACACACAGCTCCTGCTGGGGCAGTAAACACCTGGACATGCCTGAGCTCCGTCCACCGGTTCCAACTGTGAGAGAGTGTAACAGATTTATTCTGGTTTCCTGCTTCACCGGCTCCTTCAAAAAAATAATAATGCAGTCACTCAATCTACAACTGTTTATGGAACGCTGCTGTGCGCAATTGGCTGCCGCGTTTCACCCACAAAATACATAGTCACTACACTTTACAGTGTATCCTGTGAGGCGCGTTGAGACGTCTTGACGACATGATAAGGCACTGCATCAAATGCCAGGATTATTATTATTATTATTAAATACAGGCTTGATAGACGGAGCAGTGTAAGCGAGAGAGTTTGGGAGGAACACATCACTGTGTTTGGCACCTGCCTGTAGTGATCTCTTCAGTGGGATGGGGGTCTCTTGGCCTGGTGTAGGGCCTGGTGCTGAGGCCTTAAGCCCAGCCCTCGCTCCCCCAGCTCCCCACGCAGCCTGACAAGAGGCGGCTCATAGTGTTTCCTGATCAGTCTGAAGCGAGGCGAGATTTCAGACTGCTGGAAGAGGCCCAGGATCCTTTCACAGCTTGTGATTGTTCCGTGTCCAGCTTCAACTTTTATTAGGAGACAAATTATTAGAATCTATTACTAAAGGGGGCCTGAGCCAGCCGCAAATACCAGAACATAGCCTGGCTGTGTGATCGCTGGGGGGTGGGGTGGGGGGTTGTGAGTGTAGGGAGGGAAGAGTGTGTGGAGGGGAATGTGATGGGAGTGCTGTTTAGTAAACTATGACACATTGCGTAATTTACAGGCATGTTGTTTGAGGAATGTGGGTGGGGGGGGGTTGACGTTCGGGTGAGGGAACGTGTGATCGGTTGATGTTGATGCTCTGAGACAGCCAAGAGCAAGAGCGGGGCTGGGGGTGCCTGGGAGAGGTGCGGTGGGGTCATGTCTTCATCAGTATTTGGGGCCCAGCCCAATACATTTTGCCACCTGCATGTTACACCCGTGAGGTTTGGTTAAGATTTACAAAGTGACATGGAAACTCTCAACCCAACCTGATCATCTGCTCCGCTGCTTATACTGCACTCCAGCCCTGGGGTATTCTGTTGGCAAATTGCAGCAGCCAATTGCGCGCCACAGATTCCCACAAATAGTCGTGGGATTATTCATGAGAATAATATGTAGAGTGGGATTACTGTATAAGAAATCATCGGATGAAAAAAGGCCTATTTGGTTTATCATTCAGTTCTCTCCCCATCTCCAAGACATAGAAACGTAGGAACAGGAGGAGGCCATTCAACCCCTCAAGCCTGTTCCGCTACTCTATAAGATCATGCCTGATTTGTATCTCAATTCCATTTACATGCCTTTGCCCGGTATCCCTCCATACACTGACCTCACAAACATTGATCCCCCTCAGTCCTGACAAGCCCCAATTGTGTCCCATCGAAAAATCCATCTTAGAGTTCAAGTGAGTTAAGGATCACCTGAGCCTACGGTTTAATGAAGCCCAGATCTCGTTTGGAGATGGTTCAGAAGAGCTATTTGTCGTGTCCAGAGGGAAATCAGGTCCAGGGGCTGAGATAAAAACATCCTGTAACTGACTTCCTCTGATACACCATCGCTTCTCCTTTCCAGAACCAGATCCAAATGACGATAGGACAGATTTACTGTGAGGACAGATCGGGGGGGGCGGCATGTGGGGTAGTAAAATAATACAACCACGAGTGGACGGAGGGTGAAAAGTTCAGGAAAGCCAGTAAAAGCACGGCTTGCGTTATTAATCTTAACTGAAACCAGTCCTCCTCTATATAACAAACATGTCCCTGGATTCCTGGAGGCCACTGCTTTCTCTCGTGATTTAGTCTAGAACTTTCTGGGCAGCAAACGTGACTCTGGACCTCTGGCCTCGCCAATTCGGGAAATCAGGACAATTCCCAACATCACTGTTAAAATGGCTCCCAATTTGTTTTTAAAAATCTGTCAGCCTGGCTCAGGGATAGCTCTCACCGTCCCCTCTGAGTCAGGAGGTTGAGGGTTCAAGGCCCCGCACATCCGGACTTGGAACGACACAGTCTAAGCTGACGCTCCAATGGAGTGCTGGGCTGGGGGGGGGGGGTTATTGTATTGTCGTACAATCCTTCAGATGACATGTTAAACCAAGCTCACGTGCATCTGTTCAGGTTCATTCTAATTAACTAACTAAACTAACTGACTAACTTAACTAACTAACGAACTAACAAACTAACTAACGAACGAACAAACTAACCAACTAACGAACGACAATATCACTTGACTTCCAACCCCTGTGGTTAGGGAAGGCTGCGCTGGCAAAGTCTCGCCGCCTGAGCCTCTTCTCTGTCAGTTCAACCAAACTCTGGTGAGGTCTAAAGCCTGAGAACTAATTACACACAATCGCCATTGTTAAGCCTTTAAGTGCGGCCGAGCTACTTACAGCACTGGAGGAGAGCACACGGGGAGGGAATTGGCTGTGGATTATCCTCATATTGGTCCAACACAGTGGATTAGACAGACCCTGGAGCCTTTCCAGGACCTTTGTGAAATGCAGCCGGTGACTGAGCAGCAGCTCCTCGCGGCCTCCTGCTCAACTTGTCTTGTGATGGTCACACTGAGCCACCCGTGGCTGAACTCCCTCCGAGCAGCTCCAGTTCAGTCACGGAGAGAAGCGAGGAAACGCGGAACCGGTTAGTGACATGAAACACAGGAACTTGACCCTGTGCTCATCCCCCCCACCCCCCCCCTTCATTCTTCACCGCTCCTGTTCCCAACCGCCAGCGCTTGGGTTCCCTTCATGTCCAGCAGGTTGGGACGTCCTCCCAACATCAAAGACACTGTGGAAATGTCATTTGTTGTTGTTGCTGTTGAGGGACTTTGGGGAAAGCTCCAGATCTCCGGTCACCACAAACAAACCTGTGTTTTTATAGCCTCCAACATCACTTTGTAAAATCTCAGTGAGTTTCACAGCAATTTCTATCAAGTGTAGTGACTGTGTTTGTGTCAGTGAACATTACAGTCATTTTTCACACAGCAAGATCCAGTAAACAGCCATGAAACTCTCTGTTTGAACAGCGTCGCAGGATCTTTAATGTCCGCCTGAACAAGACACATGTCCTCGCGTGTGGGTGGTGGGGGGGGGGGGGGGGGGGGGGGGCGTGCGGAGGTGGGGAAGCCTGGCTCGGTGGTCGCTTTCACCGCTTTCTCTCTCACAGGCGGAAGGTTGTGGGTTCAATTCCCACGTCGGCACTTGGAATCGCACAGTCTAAGGTGACGCTGTAATGCGGCACTGGGGGAGAGCTGCATTGTTGAAGGTGCCGTCCTGCGGGTGAGTCTGCCCGTTCCTGTCCCGTCTGTGGACATACAGGCGGGTATTTGGGCGTCTCGGGAGAGAGCGAGGCTGACGCACACAATCTCTGAGCCCAGCTGATCGCTCGCTCTGTCTCACTGCCCTCCCTCATGGGCAGGAACGGGCTGACGTTCACTGTGGGACGGGGAGAGGCTGCGATGACATTGATGACGGCCACGTGATTTGCACAGTAAACATTTAATAAGAAACGTGCACCGACTTGGACACGTGCGAGACATCGCACGCACACGTACATCAACATACGCACATGCAAACATACACACGCACATGCACAACACCAACGCGATTCCGACACGGGTCCCCGAGCAGCGGGAAGGAGATGCTGCAGACGCTGACCTCTCCCCGGAGCAGCTCCGCACCCCCAGCCTGACTCCCCGGGGAGCAGCCGGTGAGCACGGTCTGGGCCGGGGGGAGAGGGAACCAGGAGCAGGCCAGTCTGGGGCAGGCACTCGCTCGCTCCCTCGCCAGCAGCCGGTGGGAACTCGCTGGCACCTTCACCGCTGGAAGAGAAGAGAATTCACTGTCATCTTTCACTCGTCTGCTCAGTCACTACATAACGTAGCGCGATTGAGAGCGGCTCAGACACGGGCAGCCCAGCCCTGCCCATCCCAGCGTGGAACCCTCTCACCTCAAGGGAACTCGGGACCCCCACCCGTTCAGCAGGTACCTGAGACAAGCCCACCCCGCCCCGCGTTCGCTCGCTCGCTCGGTGTGCACACAAGACCCCGGCTCAAGGAGTTTTCTGTAAACTGTAGTGACTGTGTATTCTACGGGCAAACGTGGCAGCCAATTTGCACACAGCACATTATCCCCACGTGTCTGTGCTTGTGTCTGTCTTTGCAAACGCCATTTGCCAATTCTCATAAAACTTTAGTTTAAAATTGTAAATCAGGTTAGTAGGAACCGTCTCTCTGCCTGACTGACACACAATGATTTCCAGCTGCAAAGCAGATACAATCTTCCTGATGTAAAGCCTTTTCTCTGCACATCGCATTTTGCCAAATCTCTCAGCCGGGAGTTTCCAGCAGCGTATCTGAGCTTTGTGTGTGTGTGTCTGTGTGTGTGTGTGTGTGTGTGTGTGTGTCTGTGTGTCATCCTCGCACTCCAATTCCAGCAACAACAAATTACATTAGAGGTAAAACCTAATGAGTCCGTGCGTGTGTGTGTATACACACATGTGTTTGTGTGTCTGTACGTGTGTGTGTGTGTGTGTGTGTGTCTGGAGGATGGGGGATTCTTAATTCAGGTCAGTTACTATTTTCGTTGGCAGCTGCCCACAGATTAATATTGGCTCATTTCATCTCAAACCATTTATCACACATCAGACATCAAAGAGCATAAAATTGTCATAAATAAAGTTCAGCGTTTGGCAAACATTTGTTCCTAACAATGAGAATCTTCACAGCGACTCGAGCTGTTATGTTTGATGCTGACATCAACGACAAACAACATTTACACAGCGCCCTTCACATCAGGAGGACGTCCCAAGGCGCTGGACAGTCAGAGATTTGGACCTGAGCTGGGGGTTGGGATCAGGAGGGGTGGAGAGCAGAGAGGGTGGGGGTAGGAGGGTGACCAAAGGTCTTGAGACAAAAACAGAAGTCGCTGGTCAGGCAACATCTATGGAAAAAGGAAAGTGAGTCAATGTTTCGGGTCCGGGCCTCGAAGGAGGCAAGGGAGGGGGAGCGAGGTGAAGGGACTGTGGGGTGGAGTTCCAGAGGGTGAGGGACGAGAGTCTGACGGCCTGATCAGAACAGTCGTCAAAACTCGCATCACCATCACCACCACCACCACGATTCAAAGCAATAAAGGAAGTCTAACCTACTGTACCGTTGCCCCAATAGATCCAAGGTCAGGACTGGGGTCTGCTGAGTGGCTGCATGGTGGTCAAGCTCTGTAATAGAGAGAGAGAGAGAGAGAGAGTCAGTCAGAAAGAGAAAGTGAGAAAGGGATTAAGTGAGAGTCAGATTAACCCCCCCCCCCCCACATCCCACCCCCCTCACCTCATCCCTATCAGTGCCGCTCCGTGCCACAGGGGGAGATCGCGGGGGAGAGGGGTTCAACCTGCGGAGAAAAGTGATCAGTAACCGGTCACACAGAACAAACCACACAACACCTCCCTCCACAGCACACACACAATCCCCCCATACACCCCCCCCCCCCGCGCACACAGCCACCCCGCGCACACACAGCCCCCCTCCCCACGCACACACAAGCCCCCCAGCACACACAGCGCCCCCCCTCACGCGCACACAGCCCCCTCCCCAGCGCGCACACACCCCCGCCCCCCCGCGCACACACAATTCCCCACCCCGCGCACACACCACCCCCCAGCACACACACCACCCCCCAGCACACACACAATTCCCCCCCACCCCCCGCAAACACACGACTTTGACAGTCTCGGAGCTGTCTTACCCGCCTGTGTGTCGAGCCGCCTTCTCAAAAAACTTGGCCCGAGAGGCGACTCTGTGAAAGGGAACAGGAAACATTCAGTGTCTCTCTCTCTCGCTCTGTCGCTGTGTGTGTGTGGGGGGGTAGGGGTCTCTCTCGCTCTGTCGCTATGTGTGTGTGTGTGGGGGGGGCTCTCTCTCTGTGTCTCTATGTGTGTGTGTGGGTAGGGACTCTCTCTCTGTGTCTGTGTGGCTCTCTCTGTGTCTCTATGTGTGTGCGTGTGTGTGGGGAGGGGTCACTCTCTCTGTGTCTCTATGTGTGTGTGTGTGGGGGTCTCTCTCTCCGTGTCTCTATGTGTGTGTGGGTAGGGGCTCTCTCTCTCTGTGTCTCTATGTGTGTGTGGGGAGGTGCTCTCTCTCTGTGTCTCTATGTGTGTGTGGGGAGGGGCTCTCTCTCTGTGTCTGTGTGTGTGTGTGTGTGGGGGGTCTCTCTCTGTATCTCTATGTGTGTGTGGGGAGGGGCTCTCTCTGTATCTCTATGTGTGTGGGGGGGCCGGGGGGGTCTCTCTCTCTGTGTCTCTATGTGTGTGTGTGTGGGGGGTCTCTCTCTGTATCTCTGTGTGTGTGTGGGGGGGGGTCTCTCTCTGTATCTCTGTGTGTGGGGGGGGGCCTCTCTCTGTGTCTCTATGTGTGTGTGTGTGTTGGGGGGGTCTCTCTCTCTCTGTGTCTATGTGTGTGTGGGGGGGGGGTGTCTCTCTCTCTGTGTCTCTATGTGTGTGTCTGTGTGGGGGGGGGGGTCCCTCTCTCTTTCTCTTTATGACCTGGTTTCTGAGAGCATATATTGCATCTCCATCACCAATTAGGTTTGGGTTCCAGACCCCCCCACTCCCCCCACAGCCCCCACTCCCCCCACAGCCCCCACTCCCCCCACAGCCCCCATCCCCCCAGTGCCAGTTTGAGTGCTGTCGCTGTGTGACTGACTGTTGGACACTCACTGACGATCACCACGAGATCTTATAAAGTGACCACAAAATAAAAATACAATAGTGTCTTTCCCGAGACTCACACAGAGGGGGGAATGCTGTCTGGAGGCTCGGTTTTCTGGGCTGGGGGGGTTCTGTCTCGACAGGGGGGGTCTGGGGGTCTCATAGGAGGCCGCTGTAGGCCAGGCCCCCTCTCAGACTGTGATCGATGGACATTAATGTAACTGTAATCACCTGAGAAACACACAGGGGAGAGAGACGACAATCAGTCACACAGTCAGCACCCACTCCCCGCAACCCAATCTCCCCCCACCCAATAGAACACCCCTCACCCAACACCGACCTACACACACCCACACACCATAACACAACACACACAATAACAACACCCACACACCATAACACACACACCATAACACACACTCGCACAACACACGCAGACGCAACACATGCGCCATAACACCTATCCATTCTATAATACCTCTCACCCAATCTCTTCCACACACCCTCTACATCACTCACCCCATTAACCCTCCACCACATCCAACCCCCCACTGCCCCGGGAACAGCCCAATCAGCCCCGTGGGGAGGGGGGAGAAGCCTCGGGGGGATGGGGAGCACATACCGTCCTCAGGGTTGACTATCCGACCCCTGGAGCGAACACTGTTGGCACTGGGCTGCTCAGGGGCTCCGTTGGCGGCCCTGGGGCCCAGCTTGATGCCCGGCCTCCCCGAATCCCCCTCCGAGTGCGGCCGAGCATATCGCACACTAGTTTCGGGGTCTCCTGGCCGCGGGGTGGGGGGGCCGGGCTTGCTGCTGCGTAGTGGGGGCACAGGGCTTGGGGGGCAGCCCACGTCCCGCGGACTCCGGGGGGCACTGCCCGGCTCGTCTGTGATAACAAAGGACATCACCATCATCACCAACATCCATGTGTACACACAGACCTACATGCACACACACACGCGCACACACGTGTGAGCGCACTGACCTTCCGTGTCCTCGGAGTGGGCGTGGCTCAATGCGTGGCGAGGTCGGGAAGGGCGCTTAGAGATGGTGATTGGTTGCCGTCTCCTGGGGGCAGCTCTGGGGGGTGGGATGGGTGGAGCAGAACTCTCCTCTGGAGGCGACCGGAATATCTGGGAAACAGGGATAAGGGAACGGGAAGACGTTACATTGTTCGTTTCAAAGAGCTGCACAGACTCGATGGCCGAATGGCCTCTTTTTGTGCTGTACGATTCTATGATTGTAAGATTCCTGAGGGAAAAGCATTTAGATTTGTCCCAGAAAACATTCTGTGCCGAGCCTGACAGCCCGGCACGCTCAACCACACGCTAAATTACACACAACACGCTTAAATAAGTCCCCATTAAAAAATAATTTGGTCACGCAATCCCCGACTGTTGTTTGTGGGGACGCCGCTGTGTGCAATTGTGGCCGCCCACAAAATATAAAGTCAATTCACTTTACAGTGTATCCTGTGAGAAGACGTGATGAGGCGCTGTGTCGAACGTAAAGATTATTACTGTATAACTGGGCGACGGGGCTCAGGGAGGGGTACTCTAATAATAATGATGATGATAATAAATACAAGTTGTTGTTGTGGGGGTCGGTGCTGTCTGTCCAGCCGAACAGCACAACGTGCACAGAGTCTGGCCAACGTCAGCGAGTTCCTCCTGGGAGTCACTGCCACCGAAGCCTTCACACAAACCACAGCGAATGGGGGACGAAGCGCACAAATAAATGGTGGCTGTGTTGGTGCAGGTAATTGCTCGCACTGTCCACAGGGCGGCGCTGCCCACCAGCTCACCGCGTGACGACAACAACAACAACACTAATAATCCCGGGGTGTGACCCGGCGCCCGATCACGTCTTCGAGAAGTCTCAAAGCGCTTCGCGGGACACGCCGTGAAGTGTAGTGACTGTATGCTCCGTGGGTGAAACGCGGCAGCCGATTGCACACAGCAGCGTCCCCACAAACAGCCGCGGAGCGAGTGGACGAGGCCTGGTTCTCACCCTGTCGTGCTGCTCGATCAGGATCTCCACCACGATGTTCTGAAACTTGATGTTCATCATCGCGGCCACAGTGTCCTCCTGAGCTCGCAGCAGCGTCGGCCCGAAGATCACTCCCAGGTTAGAGGCCGTCATCAGGTTCTCCTTACTGTGGCCACACACACTGCACACAGACTCCAGGTGTGAGCATCGCACAGCAACACGTCAACACAGCCCAGTGCAGCCTCCCCCACCTTGTCCCAACCCCCACCATCACCCTCCATCACCCCCCTCCGCACTGCACCCCCCACCTCCCACAATGCCCCAAACCCGAATCCCAGCATCAGCCCCCTCCGCACTGCACACCCCCACCTTGTCCCAACCCCCACCATCACCCCTCCCCGCCCTCCATCACCTCCCTCCGCACTGCATACCCCCACCTTGTCCCAACCCCCACCCCCTCCATCAGCCCCCTCCGCACTGCACCCCCAAATCCAGCCATTCCCCCCCCCCTCCCTACGTACTTGACCAGGTGCTGGATGATGAGGATGAGGATGTCACGGCTGGTGTCGGGCAGTTTGTAGACCAGACTGTGAATGGCTCCCAGACGGTAATCAATATTGTCCGATTCTGCCACCACAGTCAGCGTCAGTGTGAGGGCGAACGATCAACACACCCCCATCCCCGTCCACTCCACCCCCCTCACTGGCCATTGTCCCCAGCCCTCCGTCCTCTCCCCTCCTCCCTGCCCTCAAAATATGCTGCCCCCCCCCCACCCTCTGCCATCCCCAACCCCCAACCATCCTCACCCCCACCCTCTCTGCCCGCAGACACACTGCTCCCTCCCCTCCCCGGCAGCCAGTGCTCCCCACCCACCCATCCACCCCCAGCGGCTTTCAGGCGTGGTGAGGAGTGACCACCCGGGGTGGGGGGGTGGGAGTAAGGCATTGCAGGACAACACTTACTGGAGGCGGTGATGAGCTCTCTGTGTAGTTTGTATGTCATCACCGGCTCCTCCAGGTTCCTGTGTTGGGAGAGACGGGATTTCACTGTGGCTCTGAACTCACATAGTAACTAACAATCAATACTGTTCACAACTCACTAACAGTAATCATTCTCACACTTGATACGGCAACGTATCACAGTCGTATCACAGCTTCGCGGGATTTTACTGTGAAGTGTAGTGATTGTGTGTTCTGTGGGCAAACTCAGTAGCCAATTTGTGCACAGCGACGTCCCCGCAAACAGCCGTGAAGTGACCGGTTTTATCTGAGGGATTGTCGGCCAGGGCATTGGGAGAGAGAGAGAGAAACTCCCTTCTCGTTTCCACTAGCTCCGCAAGATCTTTAATACCCACCTGAACATGGCACAGTTAAAAGTGAGGGAAGGAGGTAGGGAGGGAGGCAGAGAGGCAGGGAGAGAGGGAGAGAGCGGGGGAGAGAGGGAGAGAGCGGGGGAGAGAGGGAGAGAGCGGGGGAGGGAGGCAGAGAGCGAGGGAGGACGGCAGAGGGAGGGAGGGAGGAGGGAAGCGAGGGAGGGAGCTGGGTACCTGAGATAGTGTTTCAGGCCGCTGGTCACAGTCTTTATGTCCCACTCGTTGCTCTGGAGATCCACATCACCGGGATGGTTCGAGTCTGAGAGACAGAGATCCAGATTCACCGCACAGAGCAGCCAGCAGTGGGGGGGGGGTGGGGGCAATGCACAAGTACAAGAATATTTCTTACCGAAAAACTGAGATAACAGCTTCTGGACTTGGAAGTTGCTGCCGACTGTTCTATAAATACCTTCAGTTGTGATCCCTGTAAAACACACACACAGTAACACAGACACACACAGAGTAACATACAGGCACACATACACACACAGTAACAAGCAGACACAGGCTGATGAACACTCCCAGGTCAGGGTTTGAGACACAGTAAAGTTCCCTCTACACTGTGTGTCCACACTCCCAGGTCAGGGTTAGAGACACAGTAAAGCTCCTCTACACTGTGTGTCCACACTCCCCGGTCAGGGTTAGAGACAGTAAAGCTCCTCTACACTGTGTGTCCACACTCCCAGGTCAGGGTTAGAGACAGTAAAGCTCCTCTACACTGTGCGTCCACACTCCCAGGTCAGGGTTAGAGACACAGTAAAGCTCCTCTACACTGTGTGTCCACACTCCCAGGTCAGGGTTAGAGACAGTAAAGCTCCTCTACACTGTGCGTCCACACTCCCAGGTCAGGGTTAGAGACACAGTAAACTCCCTCTACACTGTGAGTCCACACTCCCAGGTTCCCACCTCTGGTTTCCACAGCGTTGATGCATTTCCTCACAAACTTGAAGCCGATCTCGTTGAGTTGTCCTGTGAATGAAAATGAGAAACACGGTGAGGGCCGGTCAGCGAGAGGCAGTTAATAAAGCAGGACAAGCGAGCGGAGAGCAAACAGAGCACGTACTTTCCTCTGGCTTTGCCGTGGGTGTGGTGTAGATCTGAAATCCAGGAGCAGAGAGAGAGAGAGAGATTAGCAGCTCACTAAACACTGTTTGCTCCAGAGTCTGCTATTTACTCGCCGCTTCCCTCACCACTGGTGCCAGTGGCCTGAACCATTGCCCAGAACACTCTAGAACCCACCTTCCGCTCATCTAACCTCATCCCTCTTGAACACCTACCAGTCCGTTCTCCGGCCACACACGCACACCCACCCACACACATACCAAACACACTTACTCCCCAATGCTGCCTCCCCACACACACACACACACACACACATAGTTAACAAGCAGTCAACAGAGAACCCAGTTTCTTGGTTATCCAGTCTCTGTGTGTGCAAGACTGTGTATGTGTGTGTCTGTGTTGCATGTATATCTGTGTGTCTGTGTTGTGTGTATGCCTGTATGTGTTGTGTATATGCCTGTATGCCTGTGTCTATATATGTCTGTATGCCTGTGTGTTATGTGTGTTGTGTATGTGTCTGTGTGTTGTGTGTGTGGGGGTGGGGGTGGGGGTGGGTCTGGTCAGGTTGCAGTGACACAGAAAGCACAGCAGAGGGCAGCACAGACCAGGGAATGGCTTGGCTCCTCCCGGCTCCACTCCACACGTTCGTGTGGTTCCAGAGTCGGGGAGAAAATCCCTGTGTTTCCTGGAATAAAATCCAGGGGAAAGGCCGAGAGCAACCAAACAATCTGTGAACCATCTGCGTAATGTAGGATTTTCTTTGTCAATCTCACCGCCCACATTAGGGGCACATTATGCCATCCCTGTGCCAACACCAGACACTGCCGTTTCTTGGCTGGTTTGATGTTTCCCGGTAAAAAAAAGTTTAATGTGTTTTTTTTTTGAGCAAAACTTCTGTTAATGTCCCGATTCGAGATTGATTCAAATCGAGTTTCCTGGCGTTGAATATTGTACCTATATTCAAACTGGACATTGGGCTTAATGTGCATTTTTAATAGATACAATAGATTCAATAGATATCTTTAAGGTCTTTGGTTTAATGTACCTCAGCACTCAAGGAAATAGTAATCCTGGCATTTGTTACAGCGCCTAATCAAGTCTGCGAGACATCTCAAAGCGCTTCACAGCACATGCTGGAAAGTGAAGTATATTTGTGGGCGCAACACGGCAGCCAATAAGTGGGGAAATGGTGGGAAGAGGAGGGGTTACGTGTGGGGCGAAGGTTGCGATGGGCCAGGAGAAGGGGCTTTTCAAGTCGGGGGCGACCCTCAGGGGTGGGGGGGGGGGTTAATCCAGGTGGGCATCAGTGACCCACCCTGCGAGCAATTGACTGCGGGCATGGGCACGAAGAGAGAGAGAGTGTGCGAGTGTGTGAGCAAGAGTGAAAAACGCAGAGAGAAAGTGAGAGCGAGTGAGCTGTGGGGAGTGAGGAAGAAGGGTCTGGGGAGAGAGTCTGTTTGGGGAGAGAGAGCGAGTGTGTTTGGGGAGATAGTGTGTGTTTGGGGAGAGAGTGTGTGTTAGGGGAGAGAGTGTGTGTTTGGGGAGAGAGTGTGTGTTTGGGGAGAGAGTGTGTGTTTGGGGAGAGAGAGAGAGAGAGAGAGAGTGTTTGGGGAGAGAGTGTGTGTTAGGGGAGAGAGAGAGAGAGAGAGAGAGAGAGTGTTTGGGGAGAGAGAGTGTAGGGAAACGGGGAGAAAGAGAGAGTCTCACCGGCTCTTTACCGTCCATCGCCTCAATCCACAGCCTCCGATTGGCTTCGGACAGAGCCTGGAGTGTGACCGGCCCCTGTCTGGAGAACAGAGCCTCGGTCAGTCACTGAACAGTGGGGAGATAGGGTGCAGTGTGACCCCCGACCCACTCCCCACGGGGTATTCCCCCTCATTAGTACCCAGAGGATTTCCCCCCAGCCCCTCGCGCCTGTACCTCTCCATCGTCTCGACATCAAAGCAGAACCGTTTGTCGATTGAGTCGGATTTCCTCCGGACGCACAATTTCAGTTTAAATTCCTGGGAACGAGAGAGAGAGGGATTCATGATTCTGCTCCAGGAAGTGCACATCCGTCTGTCAGTCTGTCACCTCTGTGCCCGGTCTGTGCTCCCTCACCTGTTTGCTTCCTGGTTTCTGGTCGCAGGAGATCATAGTCAGAGATTTGGTCTCTTTCACGTACGTACAGTAGTACTTCACCCAGGAGAAGCCCAGAGCTCCTGAGGGTCAGAGAGAGTGTGTGTGTGAGAGAGAGAGAGAGAGAGAGAGGGGCAGAGAGAGAGAGACAGAGAGAGTATAACTCCAAATCCACATCTGGATCTCAAACAGCCACTTATAATCCTAATATTTCCTCCCCTTCCTCAAGAGTTAGCAAGAGCAAGAGAGCGAGTGAGAGAGAGCGAGTGAGAATGAGCGAGAGGAGTGTGTGAGTGAGCGAGCGAGAGGATTGTGTGCTTACGTTTCTCCTGGGAGTACAGGTAGCCCTCGATGATGGGTTGGCCGGGCAGTTTGCAGGACTGAGGAGCCTCCTTCACTCTTCCCATCAGCTCCTCCATCTCCTCCCGTGTGCTCAGGAAGTGATTCCTCGTCTGGAACAAGAGCCTCAGTCACTGCCCGGCTCACTCCCAGCGCACAGAACATACAGCAGACAGACATTAAACACGCACCGTGACCCCCGCCCAGCCCTCACCCCGCCCAGCCCCACCCCCACCCCCCACCCCCAGCCCCCACCACCCGACCCCCACCCCAGCCCCCACCCCCGCCCCAACCCCCACCGCCAGCCCCCACCCCAGCCCCCACCCCAGCCCACAACCCCCCACCCCAGCACACATCGCTCCCTGCCCCTTCCCCCAACTCACATGCTGGAGGCTCAGCTGGAGCTGCTGTTTATACGGCATAAAATCCTGAGTGAGTTCAAACGTCAGGTGATGGAAGGTCAGTAACCCGTGGAGAAACGCCAGCACCTAGGGAGAGGAGCTTGTCACACGCCAGTCACACGCTAACCACATGCCAATAACACGCCAGTCACATACTAATGACATGACAATCACAAGTTAGCCACGACACAGCGAGCGAGCCAGACATATGTGCGTTTTTACATGTGTGTGTCGACATACACGTGCGGTGTGGGGTGAGGGGACCTCTGACTCTGCCTTACCGGCTCCACCACGTCAAACTTCTTCCTCTCGTGAACCTCCTGGATCTTGTAGACATATTCCAGAGATGCTTCATATACATTCTGTCTCTCCCGGTCCAGCTGCTGGTCAGCCTGTGACACATAGTGATCATCACACACAGCCCTAAACACACACACACACAGCTCTAAACACACACACACAGTGACCCTAAAACACACACACACAGTGACCCTAAACACACACACACACAGTGACCCTAAAACACACACACACAGTGACCCTAAACACACACACACACACAGTGACCCTAAACACACACACACACACACAGTGACCCTAAACACACACACACACAGTGACCCTAAACACACACACACACAGACCCTAAAACACACACACACACCCTAAAACACACACACACAGTGACCCTAAAACACACACACACACACAGACCCTAAACACACACACACACAGTGACCCTAAAACACACACACACACAGCCCAAACACACACACACAGTGACCCTAACACACACACACACACACACACACACACAGTGACCGTCTAATACACACACACACACAGTGACCCTAAACACACACACACACAGTGACCCTAAACACACACACACAGTGACCCTAAACACACACACACACAGACCCTAAAACACACACACACACAGCCCTAAACACACCACACACAGCCCTAAACACACACACACACACAGCCCTAAACACACACACACACAGCCCTAAACACACACACAGCCCTAAACACACACACAGCCCTAAAACACACAGCACTAAACACACGCACACCGTTACAGGGAGGAGGTGGGGAGGACGTTTTTCACACCTCAAACAGTTGAGAATCCTTCTTCTTTGACGAGAGATTTAAATGGCGATCGAGTACAGAGTAAAACTTCTCGCTCTCCTTCTCAAACTTCTTCTTCTTCTCCTGAAACAGAAAGAGAGAGAAAGAGAAAACAGTGAGAACAAGTAAAAACAGAAAAAAAGATCACGAGGGTGTCAGTTAATAAGAGAAACTGGGATCAGTTTAGTGACCAGTTATATATCACATGTTCCCTGGATGTACCAGGGCCCCTTCCCCCCCCCCCGGGTTACTCGGGAATCTTTTCCTTGTCAAATATTTTCCATTTTAGAAGCAGCCACAGTCTGAATCCCACATCCTAGTAATCCTGTGTGTGTTAATCCTGTGTGTGTCTACGAGTGTGTCGGTAAGAGTGTGTTTGTGTGTGCGAGATTGTGCGTGAGTGTGTGTGCGCGTCTGTGTGTGCGTCTGTGTGTGTGCGTGAGTGTCCGTCTGTGTGTGCGTCTGTGTGTGTGCGTGAGTGTCCGTCTGTGTGTGCGTGAGTGTGCGTGAGTGTGCGTCTGTGTGTGCGTGAGTGTGCGTGAGTGTGCGTCTGTGTGTGTGTGTGTGCGCGCCCGTGTGTGTGTGCGCGCGTCCGTGTGTGTGTGCGCGCGTCCGTGTGTGTGTGCGCGCGTCCGTGTGTGTGTGCGCGCGTCCGTGTGTGTGTGCGCGCGTCCGTGTGTGTGCGCGCGTCCGTGTGTGTTTGTGAGAGTTGAGAGTGTGCGTCTGTTCATATAACAAAATTTATGTTTGGTAAAATGCTATTGAGTTGCTGACTCAGCCTCGAGTCTGTTATATTCCTCTTCCAAAAAGGCTGAGACTGGGGGCCACGGTGGGGGGCGGGAGGGGCGCAGAGAGCCAGTGAATTGATCGGTTGTCTGGAGGCAGCCCACAGTACAGGAGACTCTCAGTGTGTGATCATAGTACAGAGATGTGAGCGCAAGCACACACACACAGACACAGACACACTCACACACACACACACAGACACACTCACACAGACACACTCACACACACAGACACACTCACACACACACACACACACGCAGACAGACACACTCACACACACACACACACTCACACACACACACACAGACACACACACAGACACACTCACACACAGACACACACACACTCACACACACACACACTCACACTCACACACACTCACACTCACACACAGACACACTCACACACAGACACACACACAGACAGCATTGCTCAGCAGCTGAGCCAGGCTGTGATCCTGTGATAGATACAGACATAAGACGAGAGAGAGACAGACGGAGGCCGTTTCCTATCACACGTCCGTTGTGTCGGGGAACCTTGGGGTGCGGTTGCTGGCGAGCAGCCAGACGTTCATTATAGCCACAGGAAATCCACAGTCAGCCTCAGGGTGGGGGGAGGAGAGAGCATGCGCTCAGTCAGTCAATGGGGGCACGTGCTGGGAGCCTGTCTGTCACTCTCCCAGACCTCAGCGGCAGCTTGGGGTTGGGGGGAGGGGAGGGAGAGGACGTCTGTGAGGATGTGAATTGTTCTCCATCTCTCGGTGGGGTGGAGGGGGGGGGCAGACAGAGCAGGGAATAAAGAGCATCACACACAAGGAATCCCCCCACTCCCGTGCCTCGGAGCACCTTGTATGGGAGGGAGAAGGGGGGGGGCGGTGATGGTGGGGGGGGTTAGCGGGTGACGGAGAGGAAAGCCCCCGGAAGCCCAGTACCTTGGCCACCCCGATGTGATCTTTCTTAAATGTCTCCAAAGGCTTGATCAGCAGATTGCTGGAGTTCTGAATCTGAAAGAGAAACGATCAGCAAATTTACTTCCAAACACAATCCTGTTTAATGCCGGGGACGGTTGAGGAGCGACATGGAAAATGTGGGTCTACAACAGCCGCCTCGCACCCCTCCCCCCCCTCCCCCACCACAAACCTCCCCGCCTCCCCCAACACCCCCCCACCCCCACACACACAGAGCTCCCCCGCCCCCCACACACACAAAACTCTTACCATCATCTCCCTCTCACACTCCACCTCTGACAGTAGCCCTGCAAACTCCTTGAAGGATTCGGCTGGAAGAGAGGAAAAGCCCGAGGCCAGAGCTCGGGGCAGCCAACAGGTTAGTGAGGGAGTGAGTGAGTGAGTGAGTGAGTGAGTGAGTGAGTGAGTGGGTGGGTGGGTGGGTGGGTGAGTGAGTGAGTGAGTGAGTGAGTGAGTGAGTGAGTGAGCGAACCAGTAAATGTGGGAGGACATTTTATATTCCAGGGACAGACCCATTGGTCACTCTGCTGCTCCACAGCCGTCACCCCATGTCATGCACACACACACTCGTTCGTGCATGAACACACACACACGCGCTTACATGCAGACACTCTCACATGTGCACACGCTGTCAAATGCTCACACACACACCCTCTCACATGCACATACACACATGCTTACACACACGCGCACACAGGGAGGCTGTCGTGCTCGGGGTCTGTTGTCCACTCCTCACTACAGCGGGAGCCGAGGGAAGATTGAGGAACTGGTGACTCATAATCAAACTCTCAGGTCCCAGAGCTCCTGCTTCCTACTTCCTCATCGTCCGAGCCTTGAGCCCTGAGCTAAACCAGCAATGTCAGCAACTCGCCCAGTCACACACGTACACACACACACAGCCCGGGGCCCAGTCACACACGTACACACACACACAGCCCGGGGCCCAGTCACACACATACACACACACAGCCCGGGGCCCAGTCACACACATACACACACACAGCCCGGGGCCCAGTCACACACATACACACACACAGCCCGGGGCCCAGTCACACAGGTACACACACACAGCCCGGGGCCCAGTCACACACATACACACACACAGCCCGGGGCCCAGTCACACACATACACACACACAGGGGCCCAGTCACACATACACACACACAGCCCGGGGCCCAGTCACACAGGTACACACACACAGCCCGGAGCCCAGTCACACACGTACACACACACAGCCCGGGGCCCAGTCACACAGGTACACACACACAGCCCGGGGCCCAGTCACACACATACACACACACAGCCCGGGGCCCAGTCACACATGTACACACACACAGCCCGGGGCCCAGTCACACAGGTACACACACACAGCCCGGGCCCAGTCACACACGTACACACACACAGCCCGGGGCCCAGTCACACAGGTACACACACACAGCCCGGGGCCCAGTCACACACATACACACACACAGCCCGGTGCCCAGTCACACAGGTACACACACACAGCCCGGGGCCCAGTCACACATGTACACACACACAGCCCGGGGCCCAGTCACACACGTACACACACACAGCCCGGGGCCCAGTCACACATGTACACACACACAGCCCGGGGCCCAGTCACACATGTACACACACACAGCCCGGGGCCCAGTCACACAGGTACACACACACAGCCCGGGGGCCAGTCACACAGGTACACATACACAGCCCGGGGGCCAGTCACACAGGTACACATACACAGCCCGGGGGCCAGTCACACACGCAGCCCGGGGGCCAGTCACACACATACACACACACAGCCCGGGGGCCAGTCACACACATACACACACACAGCCCGGTGCCCAGTCACACACACACAGCCCGGGGCCCAGTCACACATGTACACACACAGCCCGGGGGCCAGTCACACACAGACTGGTAGTAACTGTGGAAGCTCGGAGAGAGGCAATGTGATGGGGAAGTGCTGACTGCTCTCCAGGCCGGTTGCTTACCGATGTTTATCTCATCGTCAGTCAGAGTGTCTCCAATGAACTCAAACTGGAAGGCTTGCAGGCTCTGGGACAGCTTGACCACAGCGGCAGAGTACACTGTAACACAGCGGGCGGACACACACATACAGTCAGTCAGGTCATATTGCCAAACCTGTTCCCCCAAATCAGCAAACCACCTTAACCCAGCTCCCAGGTCCCCGCAGCAACACACTGCTGGACTCTACAAGGGAAAAACTGGTGTGAGAAATGGAATGGAATAAGTCATCCGGGCTGACCGGACCTGGGAGTGTGGACGCACAGTGTAGAGGAGCTTTACTGTGTCTCTAACCTGACCTGGGAGTGTGGACGCACAGTGTAGAGGAGCTTTACTGTGTCTCTAACCCTGACCTGGGAGTGTGGACACACAGTGTAGAGGAGCTTTACTGTGTCTGTAACCCTGACCTGGGAGTGTGGACAGACACAGTGTAGAGGGAGCTTTACTATATTTCTAACACCTGTGCTGTCACTTTACTGAGTAGAGAAACAAATGTACATTCAGTGTGTATGTGAGTTGGTGGCAGGCGGCGGTGGTGGCAGAGGGAGATTGAAGCAGGTTGTGACGGGGAGAGAATGGAACATGAGCAGCATAGACAGACGGGCACGTCAGGGAATGCTGAGCCGTCTTGCGACCTGCCTGAGGAGAAACCAATGGGAGAAATCAGGTAAACGTCTGTGAGCAGGTGTGTGTGTATGTGCTCCAGACCCCCTTCCTGTGGCTGCAGGTTCTTGTTGACATTCATATTGTCAGGGGAACGATGCCAAACACAGCGCTGTCTCCCTCCTGTCTGTACCCACCTTTGCCTCACAAACACAGGAGGCAGGAACGTCACTGAGAGAGGGCAGAGGGGAAGCAGGTTTCACACGGAGGGTTATCAGAGCATCAATGATTTCAGCTACATATTTAAGAGGAAGTATATGAAAATAAGGTGGAGATTTGCAGGGCTATGGGGTAAGGGGGGTGGGGAGGAGAAGAGTGTGACTAGTTGGTAAAAGTACTGGCACAGGCACGATGGGCCAAATAGCCTCCTTCTGCGCTGTAAGAGTCTATGAGAACTGGGGAATGGGGTTAGAGTCGAGAGCTCCAGTGAGGGAGTGAGCACCAGCACTGACACGATGGGGAGAGAACAGGGAAATGGGATTAGAGAATGGGCAAAATGGATCTCCCTCGACAATCCACATTGATCTCTTCTGCTCCAGTAGTTTCAGGCTTCTGACTCACTTCCAGTTTCTCCAAATGTCACGATGATGTGTAAGATTTTTACTTCACTGTTTAGGAGGAAGTTGTGCCAAAAAGCCTTCCACCCAACAGCAGCTGTACAGTGTTAAAATCTCACACAGACTCCCAACAGCAGCTCCCCTTACACTGCGCCGCCCACATTCATACAATATAATCCTTGCATCTGATCCAGAGCCTTGTCCCATCTTCAACAGGGTCACAAAGCACTTGACAGAATTTACTGTAAAGCGTAGCCACTGTGTGTGTAGGTGAACGCAGCAGTTAATTTGCACATAGTGACGTCTGATAAACAGTCATTAAGTGAGCAACCAATGTTATCTGGGGGTTTGTCAGCCAGAACACCGTGAGAGAGAAACTCCCCCCCAGCACTGCGCTGGATTGCCAGCCTAGATTAGATGCTGCGAAGGCAGGGAGAGAGAGAGGGAGAGGAAGCGATGAGGTGAAGCAGTTTGGAGAGAGTGACAGAGTGTGGGTGACAGGACACACGGAGTGAGGGAGAGAGGAAAGAGCAACAGGCCAGAGCGAGGGCGGAGGGAATGGGCCAACGAACGGGATCAAAGGAGACTGCAGAGGTTGGGAAGGGTGGGTCCGTGAGGTTAGTTGAAGGTTAATGGGAGAGAAATGGTGGAGGTGGGGAAGCCTGGCCTGTGTATTGTCAGCTTTAATAGGCGTGTCTCATCAACCGGCTCAACCTGTTACTGATGTCATCTGCCCCGGAGAAGCTCAACACCCAGCAACTCCACATAGCACGCCTGCAACACGCTGCCACACGCCAACAAGACCCAGCCAACAAGCCAGCCACCAGCCAACATGTCACCACACGCCATGATATGACTGAACTCGCCACCAACAGCTACAACATGGCCCACTTAAGAGACCATATCAGAGTATACCCTTTCCACCTCCCCTCCCCTACACACACACAGCCCAGGTAATGGGGGGGGCACTATTTTCGGAGGCTGACCCTTTACCTACAACCCTCGGATTTCATCAAAGGCACAGAAACAGACAGCGAGGAGCTGACAGCCGGACAAGAGCTCAATGTGCCAGCGATCGGGTGGTATATGGGCAATGGATGTGAAGCCAACACCATGTGGTTGCGAGACAGTGGTTCGGGGGGGGGAGAGAGAGAGAGGCACAGAGACCCTTGGCAGCCTCCTCAGATGTAAAGCTTGCAACACATGGCAATGCTCTCCAGGTGTCTGGAGGCACTTTATCCAGATGAATTGTTTTAATGTATTTAGTTTCACTGTCAGAGCAGAGAGAGAGACTTCCTCCACGTCACCAACCAAACAGCCCTTCCTTCTCCACGGTAACATCCTCCACAAATGCACAGTCACTACACTGGACAGTACATTCTGCTTCACCTCATTGTCCTCAGTGAAAGGCGCAATTTCAAATGCAAGGATTATTATTATTATATGCAGGTGCATTGCCAACCTCCACGTCTGCTGAATGTTACATGGTCTTAACCCAACGCTCTCGCTCCACTGTCCATCCACAGTAAAGCTCCCTCGAGTTTCTCTTTCTGACAAGTACAATTCAGAGGCCAGTCCGTCCGAGTCTCCAGCTGTTTTCAATCTGTGCTCCTCACACAACACTGTGTGGGCTCCACACCAAACAGCTCACACATGCTCACTCTACTCTCAGCCATTTACATTACCAACCCTCCATAGAGCGAGGATTAGTTTAACATTGTTGTTCTGCGGGAGGGGGGTGGGAAATGCTGGTCTCCAACAGGACCCCCCGGAACCTGAAATTCCACGTGGCCTCGGCCCGTGGGACTGTGGAAATGATCTCCAAAATCCACAATTAATCCATAATCCGGTTTCTTTCTAAGAAACTGTGGGAAATAAATGGCTTCAGTGAATTTGAGAATCCTTACATTTGGTTCAGCACTTTTCATGTCAGGATACACTGTGAAGTGTAGTGACTGTGTGCTAGTGGTTGACCACGGCAACCAATTTGCGCACAGCAACTTCCTTGTAAACAACCACAGAGTTTTATTTTATTTGAGGGATTGTCGGCCAGGACACCAGGAGAGAGAAACTCCCTTCTCTTTGCCGCGGGTTCTTCAGCAGGGCACAGATGGGGAGCTCAGGTTAACGCCTCATCCAAAGGATGGTGCCTCCAGCAATAAGGTGCTCCCCCCAGTCCAGACTATGTGATTTTAAGACCCAACGTGGGGACTTGAATCCACAACCTTCTGACTCAGAACTGGAAGTGCGAGCACTGAGCCAGGCTGACACACAATTTAGCAGCAAGTAAATTTTAAAAACAACACACAAGCTGAGTCAGTGCAGGGGTTGGGCACTTTGGAGCTTATGAAAGTGAAACAAATATTAAAATCGAGAGAGAGAGGGAACCAGTTATTCATATCGCGATCCTGGCTTTCGGCCAGAAGGCATTAAAGCAGCTTCGCTATTTCACACCCTGAGGAAGGGGGGAAATGGGGGGGGGGTCAAAACCGCACCAATGCTCAGTGTGAATGTGCGTGCATGTGTATGTGAGAGTGTGTGTATGTATGTGAGAGATAGTGTGTGTGTATGTAGTGAGAGATAGTGTGTGTGTATGTATGTATGTGAGAGAGTGTGTGTGAGTGAGAGACAGGGTAGCAAAAGATCATTAATACTGCAGTAATTAAATGAGGAGAGAGGATTTACGCTGCAATCAGCTCATCAAATAAACTGTGTTGAGTGGATAAAGGTCTTCTGCATTTGTCAGGCTCCTGTGCTGCGTTAGTGGGTTTGAGACTCACATCACAAACCCCTTTACTCAGCACGATATCCGCATTCTCACTGTGAAAGCCACAGGACAGCTGGTGTGAGACATGCAAATTGTCACTCTGATCCACAAGGGCTCACTCATCTGAGACAGCTTCACTCTCGTCTCTAAACCGGGCTTGTGGAGGGGCAGTGTAGAGGACAGTGTAGAGGGGGCTTTACTGTGTCTCTAACCCTGACCTGGGTGTGTGGGGGGACAGTGTAGAGGGGGCTTTACTGTGTCTCTAACCCTGACCTGGGTGTGTGGGGGGACAGTGTAGAGGGGGCTTTACTGTGTCTCTAACCCTGACCTGGGTGTGTGGAGGGACAGTATGGAGGGAGCATCACTCTGTCTTCTAACCTGGGCTGAGGCTGATCGTGTAGTTGTGTCATATCAGCCTCAGCTGATCTCAGAATCTCAGAGCTTGTGGTTTGACGGCTGTGGTTGGGTTATACTCTCTCTGCAGTGTTAGTGGAAAGTTACCACACAGCGTAATTGATGTTATAACTGTTTACCACCGGCCAGACACACTCCACTGACATTTTACATCCCGTCACACTGTGGAGCGCTTCTCTCCCTCCCTCACTCACTCTCACTCCCTCCCTCGCTCTCTCACTCATTCTCCCTCACTCTCTCACTTTCTCCCCCTCCCTATCAGCAGACTGGCTGATAATACAGGTTATATTATTGCTCTTATTAATGGAGGCTGGAGTGTTGGCTGTGGTTAGATATACACTGTACTGTGGGAGGGGCCTGGTTCCCTGGGTCTCAAACCCCATCATCAGCTTTGTTTATTCTCGACCCCCCCCCCACCCCACGTTGGTGGGCATTCAGCCATTCTGCTCATTCTCTGGAACTCAATCCTGCAGTCCCTCTGCCTTCGCCCCCCCCACCCCATTAAAATCTCTGTTAAGAGCAATCTCCTTTCAGTCACTTTCCCCCACTTGTTCAGCCCCCCCCCCCCCCCCCCCCCCAGCTGGGACTGTGTAAAACATTTTGAGATGTCCACCCAATGAAAGGGAGCTGCGTGAATGTTAAATTATTGCTTTTGTTGTTAGCAAATTCATCTGAGAGATTGTTAGCCAGGACACAGGGAGAGAGAGAGAAACTGCCTTCTCTTTTTCCCCCCGAATAGTGTGGCAGGATCTTTAACGTCTGTCCGAACTTGGCACAGACAGGACTTTAAAGACACCTAGTCTGTTGAGCGGCAGCTCAGTGTGGCTGGCGAGGAGGGAGAAGTCCGAAAGTGTTTGTGAACCAGGAATCCAAGAATTTCCTCTTTGTGCTGATCAGGTTCCAAATGGGTTTACACAGTTCCCACTCCAGCAACTCCGTGTGACAGGAACCAGCCAGAAACACATACCTAGCAGCAAGTAGGAACCCGCTTGTTAGTCAGTTGGCAGATTGCTTTTCGGGGGTAATAATCACTCAAAAAAAAAAACTATTTGGTCACTCAAGCCATGACACTGTATGGAACAATGTTGTGTGCAATTGACTCCCTCGTTTCAACCACACTTTACAGTATATCCTGTGAAATGCTTTGAAACGTCTTGAGGATGTGATAAGGCACTATATCGGATGCAAGGATTATGCTGCTGCATTTCACCACAAAATATACAGTCAATTCAGTATGTTCTGTGAAGCGCTTTGTGAGACGTCTCAAAAACGTGATAAGGGGAAGGGGATTAGAGGAGAGAGCTCCAGTGTGTGGGGGTGGGGGAGAGAGAGTGAGCACGAACACACTGGGTACTGGCTGTAATGTGTGGGATAACCCGCATGTCGCAGCAGCTATCACCTGCAGCACAAACTGACAAGGTTAGGTCGCAGTAGATGCAAGACTGCGGAGAAGCAGCGGAGTTTGCCCGCAGTCTCCCCATATATAGTCTCCCCATCAGTAACCCCGGAAACAAGACAATTAATACAGACAAAAGGCAAAGACACCTTCATTGGAGTCATTGCCATGGACACACACCCCAGGGTGGGGGTGATTAAGAGTCAGTGCCTCTCTCCCCCCATCCCCCCGACATACACACACACATACCCCAGGGTGGGGGTGATTAAGAGTCGCTGCCCACCCTCGCCCCCTCCTCAGCCTCACCTTTGATGGCGTTGATCAGCGCGGAGCCGTCTTTAATGATCTCTTTGATGAATTTGTTGGTTCTCTCCAGTTCCTGTTCATACGATTTGAGGCGCTCTCTGAAATCCGGGCTGTCTCGGTAACAGTCACTGAACTCCAGAGGAGGGTGGCCCATGGCGGCGGCGCCCAGACCCCAGCACCCCCTCTCTCTCTGCCCCCCCCCTCTCTTTCTCTCTCTCTGCCCCCCCTCTCTCTCTCTCGCTCTCTCTACCCCCCCCTCCCTCTGCCCCCCCTCTCTCTCTGCCCCCCCTCTCTCTGCCCCCCCTCTCTCTCTGCCCCCCCCTCTCTCTGCCCCCCCTCTCTCTGCCCCCTCTCTCTCTCTCTCTCTCTGCCCCCCCTCCCTCTGCCCCCCCTCTCTCTCTGCCCCCCCTCTCTGCCCCCCCCTCTCTCTCTCTCTCTCTCTGCCCCCCCTCTCTCTGCCCCCCCTCTCTCTGCCCCCCCCTCTCTGCCCCCCCCCCCCCTCTCTGCCCCTCTGCCCTCTCGGGGTCCCGCTCACTGGCACTGTGTTACCAGCTGCTGAATACAATGTATCCGCTCCTCTCTCTCATCGCTATTCCTCTCCTCTCTTCCCTCTCTCTCTCTCTCTATCGCTATCACACTCCGTCTCTCTCCCTCCTTTTCTGTCTCTCGCACTCCTTCTCTCCCGCTCTCCTGTCTCGCTCTCTATCTCTCTCTCTTCGTCACTCCTTCTCTCTATCCCTCCCTCCCGTGTCTCACTCCTTCTCTCTATCCCTCCCTCCCCGTGTCTCACTCCTTCTCTCTATCCCTCCCTCCCGTGTCTCACTCCTCTCTCTCCCTCCCTCCCGTGTCTCACTCCTTCTCTCCCTCCCTCCCGTGTCTCACTCCTTCTCTCCCTCCCTCCCGTGTCTCACTCCTTCTCTCTATCCCTCCCCGTGTCTCACTCCTCTCTATCCCTCCCCGTGTCTCACTCCTTCTCTCTATCCCTCCCTCCCCGTGTCTCACTCCTTCTCTCTATCCCTCCCCGTGTCTCACTCCTTCTCTCTATCCCTCCCCGTGTCTCACTCCTTCTCTCCCTCCCTCCGGTGTCTCACTCCCCTCTATCACTCTCCCACTTGCTCCCGGTTCTCTGTCCCTCTCTCTGGGTCACCGCTGCGCATGTGCCGACACTGGCCAGCCAGGGGGCGGGGCTAGTCGCTGTGGCCCCGCCTCACGTCCACAGATCCTGGGCGCTGATTGGTCCGGCGTGGGCGACGCGGAGGCGGGAGCCAGAGCGTGTGGCCCGCCCCCTCTCACTGATTGGCTGCCCGGACTGTCACTCCCTCCCCTTCCGGAACTGAGGTGCCAGCTGTGGTGGGCGGGGCCCCGGAGGATGGCCTCCAGCTGCTGCCGGACATGTCCGTCCTCTGTCACACTCAGGCCGCTGCCCTGCGTGACGGCCGCCCCGTGAGCGCCACTCGCCGCGGTCGCAGGGTCTCACCGCCTCGGGAGGACGTCTCCGAGCGCTTCACACCAGTCTCCGTGAAGTGGAGTGACTGTGTGTTTTGTAGGCGAATGTGGTCGACGTCTCGCACACGTGACGGGCGCTATAGCAAATGCAAGGATTATTGTATGTTACACAGCAACATTCCCAACCGAGAGAGTGGCGGGTGGGGTGGGGGGGGACAGAGGGGTGTCGTCATCCTCACTGTAAAAATGTTCCAGTAGTATGTTTTTTTTCCACTGAATACATGTCGCAGTCCTCACCTGTCATGTTAGTTGCATGTGTGTGTGTGTGCGCTGTGTGAGTGCAGTATGTTTAAAGACATAGTTTTTTTTTCCTGTTGCAACTGGTTCTAATTCGATCAGAGCAAAAGACAAAACGTCCGTGTGTTTTGAAAAGAGTGCACTACTCAATTCTAACCCAGATAGTCAGCGATAAACAGCCAGAAACAGTATCTCAACCATGCCAATAGGACATGATTAAAAATACTGACACATCCTTGAAAATAAACACAGATTTACTTTACAGCCTCAACATTGCTCAATGCCAAGATCCACGTGATGGTTTGGCTTTGTTCCACTGCTTTGGGCTCCCTCAAATCAAGAGTTTCTGCATTCTTTATTTCCCCCCCCCCCCCCAAGATGGATTCACAAGCAATCGCAGTCCCCTATCCCATATTTGGCTCTGCGCCACAGTAACATCTGTCAGGGGTGCAGGCAGAAAGCAAATCCTTGATCCTCTCATTAACCGAGGAGCAGAAACAGCAGCTCTTAGATAATAATCCTTGCATTTGATATCATGCTTTCAAGACATCTCAAAGCACTTCATAGGATAAACTAAATTGTCTGTATTTTGTAGACATTTATTTATGAAAACAAGGGAGTCAATTCTTTACTTCATGGGAAAGGTTGATCTGGATGTTCCTGCACATCTGTCCACAGCAGCAGCTTCCTGCCAGCTGATGGGAATGTGTTCCTCTTGGTTAACCCTTTAAATGCTGAGATGGTCCTTTTTTTCAGTTTAGGTCACCAAATTGAAAAGATGGCCCAATCTAAGGTCTCCTCCACAGCCCTGGTTAGAAACACAGTGGCCAGAGCTACAACAACAACTTGCATTTATATAGCAACCTTCACGCAGGGTATCATCCCAGAGCTCCACAGTGTGGCCCCACCAACACACTCAGAGAGCCTTAGTGCCTGTGGCTTGCCAGTGGATTAGACTGCATTCCAACAGGCAGTGACTCCATCTATTGGTGATGCCCTAAACTTCTTCCTGCAAATAAGAGAAATTCAGGCTGCATCCATCACACTTTAGTGTGCACATTCCTCCAACAACAACAACAACAACAAGATTCCATTTGTAGAGCGCCTTTCACGTCAGGAGGACGTCCCAAGGCGCTCCAACCCTTCCCCCTATAGGGTGGCACCTCATGCTGGCTACCACCAGCCTCAGGCTTCCCTGTGTGAGCCCCAAACTACAATTGTGCTGGGAATGGAGGGCATACCCAAGAACCAATATAGTGTACTCCACCAGGGGCACTGCAATTCATCCGTTTCCCTACACCATGAGGGAAAGTTCCTGCAGGACCTGCTCCATTAACCTCAGCACAAAAACAAACTATTAAACCCAGTAACAGTTCAAGGCAACAATGGACAATTGGTCCATCAAGCAACTCAGCCAACCTCAACTGTGTCAATGAGCACAGTGTTACACTGGAAACAAGCAAACCTGGTTCCTGCAATCAAGAACAACCACACCCTTTGCCTTCAGACCTCAAACCTCTGGAAAACTACAGAACAATTGATCCAAAGAGAATGTATGACAATAATGAGACAATACACCTTCTGCAGCTCAATCTCGCCCAACCAGCCCAGGTGGGCAAAGGCCAACACTTCTCCAGATGGGAGGAAGGATAAAACATTACAGAGGAAAAAACAAACTTTATTTCTTTATAACACACTTTTTGCACATTGCTTCAATTACAGTTATATTACTGGATCAATGACTGAGCATCAACGGTGATTAAGGTGGCAAAACCTCCTGTACAAAAGTGACCATTTTACAAGGATTTAGAATAAACCCTAATAGATCAGACAATGGCAGCCAGCAATCCCCCACACCCCCTAGAATTTATTCTCACACACACACACGTAACTCAGAAGCTGCAGACCACTCATGAGATATTGTTCCAGAAACAGACAGTGATTAGATAGAAGATTAACACGACAAAGTGGGGCAGTTCTCATGCCTCAAGCTGCGGAAGCTTTGTCACAAAATTGAACTACAGGAGTCAGGAAATTCCCAATAAAATTCTGAAAAGAACCAGAGATGTGTCTGCAGGGAACGGTGTGGTTCCAGACTCCAGGTCGGCAGCTTTTACTCCTGTCCAACACAAAACATAGCAGGATCTCAGGGTTACAATCAATACGGGATGACAGCACCCATAAGATGGAATAGGAGCCACAGCAAGACTCCATCCTTCTTGCCTTTTGTTGTACTCATTAACAGCCAAGTCACACACATACATCACTTGTAAATAAATCCCCACAGTGACACCAAGAGATGGCAGAGATTAGGTCCCTGGTCTGCACACTTGGACACCAAGTCCTCATCCTCAACACAAGCTCACAGAGCCTCCCCCAAGGCTGATTTTGTGCTTGTATTGAATATTTGGCTTCAGATTATCCAAGATCTCCCTGAACCTTCTCACTAGTGTGAACATTCCACCCGCCCACAAACAAGCACACGTGACAGGCATTGTGAGGGACAGGGAGTACATGTACATACTTTGACCTTTGGCTTTGCACCAACGAGGCTTTCTGCCTTTGCCGCCAACCTCACATCACTTGATCTCCTTCCAGGCGGCATCTCTCCTGCAACACAAAAAACAATGTTAGTAGACAGAGGAGTGTGTGGGTGCGATAAAGCTTGCGAGGCGAGTGCTCTAACCACTGAGCTGCAGGACTGCACGGTCAGAAACACACAATTTACTACAGAACAAGACTGAGCTGAGGTCATGAGGTCAGCATGGATCCTGAGACAAATAACCCAATATATTTCATTAACTACATTAATCACATTCCGATCATTGGAAGCTAGGACCTCTCTCAAACTCTACCCTGGAAAGCAAGCTGAGGTGAGCATAGATTTGTGCTCACTGGTGCTTTGGGTTGGACACCGTTGGTCTTTATTAAATACATTCACCTTTCCTTATTTAAAAAGAAAGCTTTCTTGGCAAGAGACCCAGTGAAAAACATGCAAACTAGCATCAGGCAACATATATCTCATACCAGCCATCTTAAATCTCTTTGGCAAGGAATCCAGTCTTCCCTGCAGCAAGGTGGTGCTTGGGCGCTTCTTCCTAGTCGCCAGCATGTTTGAGGCGATTCCCTCAGCCTTCTGGACACTTCTGCTGCCAGCTGGATCACCAATACCTGGACAAGATGAATTTATCAGCAGGCTGTGCTTGGTGGGGGGGGATCACACTAATTGGAGGTAGTTGTAATTCCCTGACATAGGAGTGAACAAACACTGGCTCTGAATCCTCTACACTGGAACGGGAAGACAAGCAGGGTTACCATGATGGAAGGATGAGATCAAACAACATTACATTTGTATAGCGCCTTTCATGTTGGGAGGACGTCCCAAGGTGCTGAACAGGCCAAAAGAAACCTGAAACCTGGTGAGCTACATGGCTTTAGCTGGTTATTCTTCATCAGTTACCTCAACATGCTCTCTGGGGT